TATAACTCTCAAAAGAGCAAATCCCACTGTCAATAATGTATTTCAAAGAATAAGAGTAAAACAATTAATTAAAATTAAAACAATTTTACAATAAATATCTAGAGCACTAGCTGTCATCCGCGACTCCGTCCGCACGGAATAAAAAAATAATTAGTAGCCTATGTGTTCTTCCGGACTATGTTCTATATGTATGCCAAATTTCATCAAGATCCGTTGAGCCGTTCCGGAGATAGATTCAAACATCCATCCATCTAAACATTCGCATTTATAATATTAGTAAGATCGTAAAAGTATATTAGGTATTGAATTATTCATGTACAAACACGTTTCATTTCTCAGTAATTACAAGACAGAACTGTTTGCTTGCTGACTTAATGATTGCATTAGCTGTAGCTTTATTATGGCCATTAAACTATCGTTAAAGCACAACGTGAAGCGCTCAGATAGTTAACATCCTAGCTGTTAATATACATGATGACTTAGCCTAGTACACATAGCTCCTCGTAGCTTATTGTAACACTGCATTATGTATATAAGCACGTCGGTGGCTCAGGGGTTTGGGCACTTGACTTGTAATCTGCAGGTCCTGGGTTCGAATCCCACCATGTCGAAATATATTTTCAGATTTTCGATTTACATACATATCCATACATCCAAACATTCGCATTTATAGTATTAGTGAGATAGTAAAGAAGTAAGATTTCAAAAGAAGATTAAAAATTATTGTTTTTTCTTTCGTCATTTAATATAAAAATTGATGTAATGATAAGAGGAAGGGATTAACTCCTAAAACACAGGGTTTTTTCCCTAGTTTAGAAACCAAGACTTCCACATAGTGTATATGACAAAAAAAGTTAAGCTTTATAAGGGTGACATCCGAAACCGATGGGTATATATATGACGAGTATGCGGAAATTTAATGTGGAAGTTGCAAGATGACCGCGCCAAATGGAGATAGTTTTTTTATATGAAGTTATTTAAAAATAGCCTACCAAGTATTATCTTTTCGTTTCGAAATGTCATTACATGAGGCTTATTGGGATAACAAGGTACATCGCGCCATGACAGATCTCGTTGAGTTGTCAATTTGTAGATTTAAGCTGATATGAAGATATCATCAGAAAAGAAATATTATTTCATATCAAACTACTCTGAGAGTTTTTTTTCTATATGTACAATTAATATATATCCAAAGGAAAAATAATATAATAATATAATATATAATATTTTGTGTACATATTTTTTTTTTGAAATTATAACTAAAAATTGTCTGCCTGTCTGAAAATGCGTACTGATTCCGGATTATGTCATTAAAAAAAAGTTTATCTTAAAGATTTTTTTTGTATCAAAAACCTTCTATGGTGACTTAAGAATATCCTACCAAAGTTTTATCAAAATCTGTCCACTAGTTTAGGTACACTCAGGTGACAAACCTACAAACATATATTTGTATGTGATGATAAAATGAAAAAGGTTTAAGTCCGATAGATCTACAAAAAACAAGTCGGACTCAACATAAAGTCCGTGCATTATACAGAGAAATGAGTATTTATTTTACTTTGTACGGAACACAGAAAAATCTCACTATAATCTAGACAATGGAACTAAAAGTGGAACACATGGATAATTGAGTTACACGCACGAGTGAATGGAACGAGTAAGGTGGATTCAAACAATTTGACCAGCGTCTAATTGGATTTCGAATTCCGCCATCTTGTTTTTTTTTAATCAAACGTACATTTTATAGTAACTGTTACATTCACTGGAATAAATAATATACCATTTACTTTTTAATGTTACGAGGTAACAAACGTATAAGCACTTTATTTGCTTAAGACGTCTACCAACAGACATCTGGAACAATTAATACTGTATCTTTTGCACTGTCTACCTTTCAGACAAAGGAAGTAAAAGAAGGAAACATTTCTCCCTCCTCTACGGCCTCATACTCGCCTTTACATACTTTTTTGTATCATTAGGTGGCAAACAAGCAAGCGGCCACCTGAAATCGCTGAAATAGCGAAGCAACCCTTGCCCATAGACATACGCAATTGCAGATGCGTTGCATACCTTGAATCGGTGGATGCACAGAAAGAGAATATTATCCCTTCCCATGCATCTCATCCGCCTTTTCATTTATTCTGATTATTGTTAGGAAGAGGAAGAAGACAAGAATTTCGTCTCAGTACACACTCATCAGCCGAAATACGTAATTACTTCCAAGTCGTGTCTTCTTGTGTCGTAGAGGAGTTGCACTTGTAAGGCTATTCGTACAGCTACTAATACTGCTTCGGACTCTACCGCTTTTAACTATGTTTCATTAGTAAACTGGCTGTATGATTTTGATGTTGTAGAGTTATAGTAATAATAACACTAAATTAGAGAGGCAGCTAGCAAATTTTAACCAAGTCTCAGAGTTTAAACTTAGTTGAAACTCTCGCAACTTTATGATCTTCCTTATCTCAAAGACTTTTGTTACAGTGAAGCATTATGCTTAAAATAAAATAAATTTAAAATGAACTATTATTTTTTTAAGTCAGTAGTATTTTCACGGATTGTATGTTTTTAGAGACGAGTCCTTGGATACTTTGTACATATTGCCCGGAGAAACCCTGACAACCTGAACAAATTGGTTGTGGTCGGAAAGATAGAGGGTAAAAGGTCACAGGGTCGATCACTTACTCGCTGGTCATCAAGTGCAGGCTATATTGGGACTCAATATCACGACTGCCCTGAGACTGCCGAAGATAGGACGGCGTGGAGGCAGCTGGTCGATACAGCCGTTAAAGCGTATCAAGACAAGCACGACCTTCAGAAATGAAGAATACGAAGAAGAAGATGTTTTTAGATGCAAACGAATGAAGTCTGTAATGTCGATTTTAACTCAAATAGCTTGAACTATGTTTAAGAGTCAATCGATTCGATTTGGATAATATTCTGTAGGATTATTTGTATTTCTTGTTTCTTTATTAGCTGCTAGTTATTTAAATACATTCTACTATCAGAGTGTGACGTAATTTTGTATTTAAGTAAAGTCCTTTGTTAAAATACAAGACAAGCCTACATTTAACCTCAAAATTTAATTTGTTCAGCTGAAAGTTTCAGCAAAGCTCGTTATACTCGAAGTGTTAGTACTTTACTGTCGCCGCCAAAAGTTAATTCATCGCACGCCTCTTATAATGGACCGTCGGGACATGTTTGTGTGAAAATTTTCAACATAAAACTACACGACCCTGAGAAATCTAATGAAGAAAAATATTTTTGAAGCTTTAGAGAGTCATTAGGGACCTATGCCAATGTCCAAAAAAGGGTTCACAAGATTGTAGTTGGTTTAAAGCTGTCTTGCCATAAGTTAGGTATTATTTTCTAAGGAGGTTTTACATATTTTTGACTGTACTGGCCGCGATAAGATTACGCAGCTAGATAAGGTTTTCACTCCAGTCTTTTTTCCGACCATTCCATTATCGTGCATTATTGTCTAAATAGTTTAACTGATTTTAGTGTGTGACATCATAATCATCAATTCACTATAAGTCCGCACTAAGGGGTTCGGAGCCTACCATTAGGTAGAGGTAATTGGACCGTGGACGAGAGCGAAAGCGTGCTCGTTGCCCCGTCCCGATGCGTTTTAGGAACAGAGAGGTTTAGTGGGTATGCCTCCGCTATGGAGGAGAGTCCCACATAACTACCGCGTCCCCCCCGGGGCGCGGAGTATGCATAAAGCATTCCTCTCTGGAAAAAAAAGGTAGGGGTAATTAGGCCGGTCAATCACGCTGGCCCAATATGTGTTGACTTCAAACTTCAAACTATCTTTGAATTCCTTTCAGATATATGCAGGTTGCATCACAATGTATTCCTTCACCGTAAGTCGAATAAATGTGGATATATAAATCAAAAACAAGAAACACATTGGTACATGGCGGGGTTCGAACTCAGGACCTATAGACTACAAGTCAAGTGCTTAACCAGTAAGAGTCAATGGACTATTCTACCCCTTTATGTTAGATACAACCACTAATATTAGGTACTTGCTCCAAAGTATTGAGAGAAAGTACTCAAAGTTATATAATCGTTATAAATATATAAATAACATGCGTCATGAACTTATGTTTGCTTCAGTTATCAAGAGTCTAGATGATCCTGTGAACTTGGTGCCGCATAAAATGAATAAACAAGATACACTCACGTAACCAATAAGTGTATAGTCCGCCGAACATATCTGGCCCGATGAGCCTCTGCTATGCGGTTAGTTTTCGTCAGAAAATAAAAAAAACCTACATCAACAGGGAAAATTACATAAAAGCAAAGACATGACAAGAAAACTTTAGTTCGACCTTCTTGTGGTATCCGAGAAATATGTGAACTAACAAAGTCGTCTTGACATCGTCATATTTTGATAAATGAGGTAGCGGTAACTGTACGGACTAATGTTGCCATTTTCATAATTTTTGAATTCCATAAAATTATCACGCATAATGTTATGAGTTTGCTAATGTGTTGGGAAGAAATTACTACGAGAACTCAGGTCATTAGATGCATATCAATTGTTTGGAGTTGCAAGAAAGACGACTTTTGGAAGAAGATAGGAAATCATTGCTTACTGGTAACCCTAAAAACTTTAAAGAGTCCCTTGGTAAATGTCAAAAACTACCATAAAAATCTTGTGTAGCCATATAGTAGGAGAAGGATTTTGTCACTTTTGCAAAATGTCAGGAGGTTCTAATGAGCTGTTGTTATTTAGTGTAATTAACTCCCACCGGGCCATGTAAGTTATTCGATCTATAGTTACAAATATCGGAAATACATATGACACATATAAGATACACCCCATTTAATTTATCATTAAGACAAAACAACGACGCCTATATCTCATGTGGGTAGACAGAATTTACTCGGTTACGGCTGTTCATAATACCGTTCTTAATCATGTGATTTACCGAAATACTTGTACATACGAGTATATTAATTTTCATAATTTCCATTATCTTTGAAAACCCGAGACAATATGTTTTGTACGGATGTTTAGTTATTAACTTGTAATAAAATGTTTTCTTCTCATTTTTGACCTGATCTGTATATGCCTCTGGAAAGGCTTAAGCCGGGGTATTTTGTGCCTACTTGTTGTTCACATATTGGTGCTGACCGAAGTGCTTGGTAGTGATGATATATTATCAAACTAATAATAGATATACAGTTAGCCGAGCAGCGAACTATCCAGCATATATCTATACAGATCTATGTATCCTGACCAGAACTAAATTATTAAAATAATTCTCATAGGCTCAACTTAACATCGAACTAAAGATGACCTTTATGACGCAATAAGTGACGCGTTTATTCTAGAACATCAGAAAGGTTATCAACCTGTAAGTATAAAGGAATTGCATTGTTTAAATGGCCGTTGGTAGGATAACAAGTTAACTCCTTAATTAAATGAGACAAATGTCTCAGTGTTAGCGTTTTGTTTCGTGTGATTTTTTCGTGTTTGATTTCTTAAGATATGTGTCAAACGATTATTTAGTAGTGGATGACCATTAATCACACAGTATATATATAGTCTATCGTCAATAGATTAACTCAAGCAAAGTCTTTAAAAACTACAACCACTTCCTATAGTAAATTTGTATTTTTAAACTCGTTAACGATGAAATTTTGTGTGTTTATGTTATTAATAACTTCGGTTGATTTTGTTAAATCAGCAAACATTTTAGCAGTGTATCCATGTCCATCGATATGTCACCAAGTTGTGTTTCGTCCGTTGACACTAGAATTACTTAAACGAGGACATAAATTAACAGTAATCACTCCTGATCCAATGAACCTAAAAGGAGAGGGATATGAAAATTTGACAGAAATCGATGTACACAATGTGTACTCGGTAATTAAGAAATATTTGGCTACAAATGGAAGCAAATCAGATTTCATTGATCAAATTAAAGGTATAATGGATCTTATTTCTATCAGTTTTGAAGAACAAATGAAATTAAAGGAAGTTCAGAATGTTATCAACAATAACAAAGAAAAGTACGATTTGATATTAATAGAGGCAACATATGTTCAAGCATTAGCTATATCTCATATAATCAAAGCACCAACGATGTTAATAAGTTCGTTTGGAATGTCTTTAGGAATTCATGAATTAATGGGAATACCGACACATCCCATTTTATACCACAGGACGTTCCAAGAGAAGCTATATAATCTAACGTTATTAGAAAAAGCAAAAGAGGTGTACAACCAGATAGTATTTACCAAAGTTAAAATAAGAGAGGAAAAAGAGAATGAAGTACTTAAAAGTCTATTTGGGCCAGATACTCCAACGATAAGTGTTTTAAAAAATTATATTGACATGTTATTGGTAAATTTACATCCTATCGGGGAAGGAAATCATCCTGTACCACCAAACGTAGTATTTAAAGGTGGATTAGAAGTACAAGCACGATCTCCTAAAACTTTACCGCAGGTACTTACTAATTTCTTTATCATTAATTAATCAAGTCAGTCTATTCAATTTTATAATTTTGAACCGTCAAAAATAACGGATTTACGGATGAGAGGATGCATGGAAATGTTTTCTTTCTGTGCATCCTCTCCTCCGTCTATTAAAGGTAGGTAACGCATATGCATTTGCTTATGGCAACTTTCTATGGGCAACGGTCACTTCGCTATTTCAGCGATTTCCGGTGGCCGCTCGCTCGTTCGCCACCTTATGATATAAAAAAAAATAAAGATCAAATATGACACCTTCTTTCATAAAGCAACGTATGTGAATAATCGATAAATTTAATTGTGTCGGGAGTATCGCGTTGCGCGCATTCGGTAAAGGAAAGGTCAAATCGTCGATGCCAGTCGTCTCTTCTGGTCAGTAAAGGCATAGACTATATGTCAATCGCCTTACAGTTTAAATATTTTTCTTTCAGGATCTTCAACAATTATTAGACAGTTCTGACCACGGTGTTATCTACTTTAGTTTTGGTACAAACGTGAATCTCACTTTACTGCCGCTGGAAAGAATACAAATTTTCGAAAAAGTTTTTTCCCAACTGCCATTCAACGTTATATGGAGGCGAGATAACGACGGAATTGTCGTAAAATCTAACAATATTAAAGTATTGGAATGGGTACCGCAAGCAGAATTGTTAAGTATGTTAAAGTTATTTATAAATAATGGATGAAAATTCTGACAAATAAATCGTCATCATCAGCTCACTACACGTCCCCACTAAGAGACTTTGATCCTACCATAAGTTAGGGGGTAACTAGGCCATAGTCAACCACGCTGGCCCAGTGCGGGTTGACTTCACACATATCTTTGAATTTCTGCTCAGATATGTGCAGGTTTCATCACAATGTTTTCCTTCACCTTAAAACGTTGGATAAATGTAAATCAAAAATTGAAAAACACATTAGTACATAACGGGATTCGAACCCAAGACCTGCAGATTCTAATCCTGTTTGTCAAAGTATTGTCCGAGATATATAAGCAATCTTTACTTATATATTTCAGTGCACAAAAATGTCAAGTTGTTCATAACACAAGGAGGCTTGCAATCAACTGACGAAGCGATCATAGCAGGGGTTCCTCTCCTTGGCATACCACTGTTAGCAGACCAGTGGAACGTCGAGAAATATGTTTACCATGGTATTGGACTAAAACTCGATTTTGAAGATATCACCGAGGACATGTTAAAGAATGCAATATTAGAAGTAGCCGAAGACGAAAGGTAAGATCCCAAAACAATTTGTTTACTGCTAGTCGTTCTCCTAACGGATATATGAAGAAAGTTCGAAACTTTCCCATACTTATCCGTAATAAACAAATGAAGCGCACATGTGTTATCTGCTTTTACATTGGATAAGGAATCAAATAAATTTCTGCCTATCCCAATGTTTTGGGGGTACTGATAGGTAGAAAAATGTATAGGAACTTAACATATCGTATCCTAGACTTGACTTAATGGCAACAATTTTACGAAAGGAAAAAGATACATAAGAGCTTTCATTTAGTAACTAAATATAATATAATTTCAGATACAAGAATAACATAATTCGTCTCCGATCGCTGATGGCAGATCAACCGCAGGCATCACTGGAGCGAGCAATGTGGTGGATCGACTACGTACTGCGACACGGCGAAGCCAAGCAACGAAGAGTCCCCACTGACAACACCACCTGGACGGAGTTCCTACATCTAGATTTAATTATGTCTATTGCTTGTTACTGCTTTATTGTATATATATCGACAATCCTAATGATAAGATCTTTAGTTTTTTGCATATTATGTAAAGATAAATGAACAAAATAAATGAGACAAAATTCTAATTTTTATTTAACGATTCGCCGTACCGGACTTAGTATTGTGTATTCATCTGTTGGTCAATAATAGAGCTACAGACGTAATTTATTGCTTTCTTATCTACAAATGAAGTATGAGAAACTTATGCACTTGATTATTAAAAAGTGCAACAACATTTACATATGTCACGTTTCCAAGTCCTGAACATAATCGCAAAATTAATTACATAGTTCGCTTAAATAGGATAACATGTCATTGATACATCTAACAACTATTAATTTATTCAAACTGCAACTCTTTGTAAAAGCAAGTCGTCTTTATACAGAGAATTGCAAGTAACGTTTCATTTAGAAATAAGAAGCATAAGTGTTAAGCTGGATTATATTTTTAACCCATCCACGGATCAATTTGATAACATACAAATCACGTATAAAAGAAAAGACGAATTATTTTATGTGCCCGTAAATGTTTAAAAGTGGAATCTAAAAAATGAAGTTTTTTGTGGTTTTGCTTTTAGTGATTATTGGTGACTTTGTTAAATCGGCAAACATTTTGGCAGTGTATCCATGTCCGTCCATCAGTCACCAAGTTGTGTTTCGTCCAATAACACTAGAATTACTTAAACGAGGACATAAAGTGACAGTTGTCACTTCTGATCCAATGTACCCGAAAGGTGGACATGAAAATCTGACAGAAATCGATGTACATGACAGATCTTACGCTGCGTTGAAAAAATACTTTGTCTCTCATGTAACTGGAAGTAATTGGGATTTATTAAATCAAGTGAAAGGTATTCTCGATCTTCTTTCTGTTAGCTTTGAAGAGCTAATGAAAACAAAAGAAGTTCAAGATCTTATAAATAGTAAAGAAAAATTTGATTTGATTTTATTAGAATCGATATACCCTCAAGGTTTAGCAATTTCACATACATTTAAAGCACCAACAATACTAATAAGTTCATTCGGACCATATGTAGATAGTTATAACATAATGGGAATACCAACAAATCCAATTTTATACAACCATATGTTTCGGCAGAGACTTTACAATTTAACTTTGTTAGATAAATTAACTGAATTCTACAATCAATTGGTAATTCATTATGAATTAAAAAAGAGAGAAGAGATAGAGAATGATTTGCTTAAAAAGTATTTCGGACCAGATATTCCGTCTTTAGGTGTTTTAAAAAATTATGCTGACATGTTGTTTATTAATATACATCCTGTTTGGGAAGGGAATACTCCAGTACCGCCAAATGTCATACATATGGGTGGATTACACATGAAGAAACCAAAAAAATTAACCCAGGTATTTATATTTTTACACTAACTTTTGCCTGTGAATTCGTAAGCGTGTAATTAAAAATCTAATTAGTAGCGTACATATTCTTCTAGACTATGTTCTGTATATATGCCAAATTTCACCGTGATCCGTATAGCCTTTCCGGAGATACATGCTAATAAACATCCATCCATCTAAACTTTCACATTTAACTTAGTAAGATTATTATTTTTATTATCTTACTTCTAACTGCGCAACGAAGATTTCATCTCAGAATTGGTTCCTTTAGTTTGCATTTTAACTCAGTTTAGAATAAACACTAGTTTATCATTGCCCTTGAGGTTAAATAGCCATAAATGTATCTGTCAGTATTTTTCCATACATTCAGTTTGCACGCTATCTCATAGACTTATTCTATTTGTTCATTCGTGTGTTTGAGTGGAAAATATTAACCTTAAGTTTCCACTGACGATACATAGAGAGAAAAAATTGTTAACCTGATTGTTTTTTTTAATCTATTAAGAATTACCATAATGTATTAAATTACAGATTTGTTTACCATGGAAACTCAAGATAAGAATTTTTTTAATTTGCTTCTAAAAATTTCTGCCAAAATTTCTTCCAAAATCATTATTAAAAAAATGTGACCTTGAATTGTTTTTCTCCTCAACAATGACTAAACTGGCGCTTTATGAGGACCCCACCTGATGTTAAATGATAATGTAGTTTAAATACGCGGTAACAGTAAATAATTGAACGATTTTTTAGGATCTTCAGCAATATCTGGACGCGTCAGACAATGGTGTGATTTACTTTAGTTTTGGGACAAACGTACAACTATCTTTGCTGCCGCAAAATAAAATAGAGATATTTGAAAATGTACTTTCTCAATTACCTTACAATGTCATTTGGAAACGAGATACAGAGAGTGTTTTTATAAAATCGAAGAATGTTAAAATATATAAATGGCTACCTCAAGCTGATTTGTTAAGTAAGTAAATTTTATTACCATATTCAACTATACACCATATGTGACTGCTATTAATTCGTTAAATATCATATTGAAAATTTTAAACTGACCATTATAATCCCGCGAGCATATTACCATTGTTGAACATGATTACTTAGCGCCTACTAAAAAAAATCATCAAAATAACTGGAAGAATTGATTCTCTTCTTTGCTCCAATTTCACAACAGGCGCTCCTCAGGTTTTCTCTAATGATATTCAATAGTCTTCATAGTGTCTTCTTTTAATTTAGAAACTTATACAATTACAGGGCATCCAAATATTAAATTGTTCATAACACAAGGAGGCTTACAGTCAACTGACGAAGCGATCACAGCTGGTGTTCCTCTCCTTGGTATACCAATGCTAGGCGATCAGTGGTACAATGTTGAAAAATATGTTTATCATGGAATTGGGCAAAGACTTTATTTCGAAGAGCTTACCGAAGAAAAGTTGAAAAATGCAATTTTAGATGTAGCTGAAGATAACAGGTATATCAAGTTTTTTTTTGTTTCAGCCAGCTATTAATTAAGACAAATAGTAACAAACGTCATAAGCGCCTAGTGAAATAATAGTGGCAGTAAACATTGTAAATATTTGCAGTACAGTCTATGAAAGAAATACCAATTCCTTACCTATACAACATTGAGGACAGGAATGGGTACCAACCTTCTTGTATAAAAATTGCATCCAAAGTTAAAGCAAAGGGATACTGCAGATACATCCTAGTAATTTGACTATACCAAGACATAGACCTCCGGCAGATCCATATCCACGTTGTCATGCAGATATACCGATTATAAGGAACGATATTCTAATTTCAGATACAAGGATAACATAATTAGTCTCCGTTCCCTAATGTTGGATCAACCACAGGCGCCTCTGAACAGAGCCATGTGGTGGATCGACTACGTGCTGAGACATGGCGGCGCAAAGCACCTGAGAGCCCCCGCCGCTAACATTACCTGGACTGAATACCTAGAACTAGATCTTATGTTATTCATCGCTTGTTCTTTTCTTATTCTATTTGGATTTACATTCTCATTATTAAGAATTCTAGTTTCAATCGTATCTTCGAAAATCAAACTTGATAATAAACTAAAGAATGAATAACGTTTGAATTTATAAATAAAATTTTAAAATGTTTTGCGACTTTTTTTTTGGGATGATAGTTCAATTTTGTGGTTCTTAATTCAATGAATTGGAGCTATATAATCTTTTATCCCTATTAAATATTCTAAATGATTGAATTACTGAATATAGTAACTAATTTACTATTCGGTCATATACTTAAATTGATTACGGTATAAATTAAGCTTCCTTAATATGTATACAGTACCTGGATGACAGCTTTGCTCGGTATTTTTTTTTTAATTGTGTTTTTTTTAAATTATATTTAAGTACGAATTACTAATAAAATGATGAAATATGAATAATATTTTTCGATCTTACCGATATAAAAAGTTAAGTTTATATTTAAGTTAATTATCGATAAAACACGAATAAAATGACATTTTCTAAAAATGATTCCTAGCTAGATCGATTTATCGCCCTCGAAACCCCTAAATTTTATTAAATTCGTTGGAGCCGATTCCGAGATTCCAATTATATATGTAAGAATTGCTCATTTAAAGATATAAGATATATTTTAATAACATGTATGAAGGTCATTTAACATTGGATAGTTAAATAGGTAATTTAATTTCAATTAAACAAAAAGTAAAAGGAAATTTAGTCCATTCACACCAATAACCTGATGTTAAAACATACTAGAATTAATTTTAATTTTCAATTCAGATTAAACTATAATAGAAAAGCTACATTGGCTACTTACTAAATAAACGCTTCTCAAGAACTCATTTTTTGCCGCCAAAATATGGCTCCAAAATTACTTATTCCATTTAGTATAGAAAAAGAGATTGTAAGTCCCTTTGCCACCAAAGGCGTAATATTCCTTAAGTTAATAATAGGGGCTATGGTTTCCACAACTCCACGACTAGCGCGTATTTTCCATGGCCATACATGGATCACTCCAGCCCCATCTCGCCTATGACCTTCATCAAACCCTTATGTTGCTGAAGTTATTCGAGATTGATCTTAGTGAATCCTGTATTGGAATCCTTATGATGACATTAATAACAAATGAAAAAAAAAATTAAAGAAAAATTTTCTTAGAAGAATCACTAAAAACTGTTTTGGTGTTCGGTTGTGTAATTGTATGCATACCCGTGAACTAGAAAATACTTTGTAGATTCAAAGATAATATGTCACGAACATGCCCTATTTAAATACCGTATAAAGATAAAGCATTAAGATAATATTAACTTAAGCGATTTAAAAACAATGAAATTAAGAATGAAATGTATAGAAAACATGATAACATTCTAAATGGAAACTGTTAATTATATTTGAAATATACATTTTTTTTATAGTTTCAATTTTCACGTTCATCAATTTCCATAAAATTGATACGTTATAGCACTTTGTATTAATAAAATGTTGTTTTATGAATATCATATTATCATCCTAAATTTATCCACTGCTGGACGTAGGCCTCCCCCATCGATTGCCACAATGCCCGGTCCTGTGCCGCTCGCATCCAGTCCACTCCCGCAACCTCGACCAGATCATCGTTCAATCGTGCGGGAGGCCTACCTACGCTGCGTCGACCTATCCGCGATATACATCTTTACTAATAATATAAAGCCGAAGAGTTTGTTTATTTGTTTAAATGTGCTTATCGCAGGAACTACTGGTCCGTTTTGAAAAATTCTTTTTTTATTGGATAGTCCATTTAGCTTTAGGCTATATAACATTACGCTGCGACCAATAGTTTTTTTTTAAATTTCGCGCGGACGGAATCGCGGGCAACGGCTAGTCATATTATAAGAAACAAGAAGTAAAGATGAATATCATCTTAATTTTTAATTTACTGATAAAGTTATTCCGAAATTAGAAGTAAACGAAAGACAGAGTAAACCGTCATAGGTGCTTTTAATTGACTCCAAGTGTAGGTAATCTTCATCTACTACTAAGTTAAAAGTAAATATTTATTGCTATAAAATCCAGTTTTAGATAAAAATTGTTACATTTTAATTATCAAAATCCATTTTATCTACCTTATCTGTCAATGCTACTGAATTTGTGTGAAGGTTTCAATTTTATCATTGAAGATCAAATTAAAACCAATAATTGTTAGAGATCTTTCTGATATAAATTCTTCATCTCCAGAAGATATTTTACAATTATCTGAAAGCAGTGACACAATGTACAAGTTGTTGTTTCTCACGATCTTTGGTTTAGTGGGTAAGAAGAAACTTTCAACTCTAATATCATGATTGAAAAATAGGGCTAGGAATTTGTGATAGTATTGTGAAGTAGACGAATCATTCACAATTTGTCGTATCAGAATACGTTTAATTAATTTACATCCTTATTTCTATGATTACATAAAGTCTTAAATCTATGATATAAAATAAAATTAAAAAAAAACCGAATAATTAACTAAAATATGTTATTAAAAGGAGTCCCTTTAGGCAAGGTCCCGAAGATACTGGCAGCGTTCCCCCTCTGTACAGCTAAACTTATTCTTTGACCGAGGTAGCTGCCAGCTCTTCTGTCCCCTGTGATGTCGATTAATCGATTTGTCGTATTATATCAGACATAACAACTATAAAGCACAAATTTTTATATTCCAGTGGCTTCACCAATCACCAAAGAAAAAGAAGATGTAAGAATAGTTGGCGGTGAGGATATAGACATCACAGGGGCACCATATCAAGTGTCAATAGTCTACGCTGGTAGACATTCCTGCGGGGGTTCCATTATTGCGGATGACCTCGTTCTGACCGCTGCACATTGTGTTACTTCGTGAGTAACTTTTGTTTGAAACAGAAAAGTGACAACTAATAGTCAAATAATAAAGAATCGCAACCAACAGAAGTCTAGGCTATGTATTTACTTCTCTTTTGTAGTGCAACATCTTACTAAGATTATAAATGCGAATGTTTAGATTGATGGCTATTTGTTTGAAAGTATCTCCAGAACGGCTGAACGGATCTCGAATAAATTTAGCATATAAATAGAACATAGTCTGGAAGAACAGATAGGCTACTAGTTATAATTTTTTTAATTCCGCGCGGACGGAGTCCTGGGTGACCGCTAGTTAATATTTTAAATTATAGTTTCAGCTATAGGCCAAGTGATTACGTGGTGCGCGTTGGATCGTCATCATCGCGTTCAGGAGGTGAACTCTACCGAGTGGGTGCTTTACAAGTTCATCCAAAGTTTTCATCATCAAATATGGATAACGATATTGCCTTACTATGGCTTTCGAGACGCATGAAGTTTAGTGAACGTGTTGCACCTATCGCTTTAGTTGAAGAAGATGAAGAGATACTTGATGGTGATACTACAATGGTCACAGGTTGGGGAAATCTAAGGGTAAATAAAACATATTTATAATTGCTGTTCAATTATAGAAATAAATTAAGTAAATGTCAACTGAGTCGCAAAAAAATGAACTAAAGTTTGAACAGATTTAAAGTTTTAATCAATAGTTAGTCTTTTGTTTCTTTTTCTATTGAAAAGTTAAAAAAAAATCTTTTCTAAAATCTCCGTAACGTAAATGAATATTAATTTAATTAGTAAGCAAACTTATTAAACCTGTTTTAGAAAATCGCACAATTTAATTATAAACGTACAAATGTTTTTTATTAATTTGCCTGTCAATAATAACTTTGATTTTTTTAATTAAGGAAGGAGGAGGTAATCCGTCGACTTTGCAAATGGTACTAATACCAATCGTCAATCCAACACAATGCAAAGATGCCTACAGCAAGCAGTACGTGATAACACCAAGAATGATATGCGCAGGACTACCTGATGGAGGCAAAGATTCTTGCCAGGTATTTACTATAAACATTATTGGTAACTTCAGTGTTAATTGGTCAATAATCTTTCTGGGACAGCGTGGTTAAATATGGCCTAGTCACCCGTGACTTTGGGTAGGCTCCGAGCCCCTCAGTGTGGACGTATAGTAAGCTGATAATTGCGACCATTCTGTATATGCAAAAAATGAAATTGACTTCTTTCTCTTCAATTTAACCATAGCCAAATAATTTTTAGGTTCTTCAACATCGGCTAAAGATTCTCAACTACTGCACTGTAAATCTTATCTTATATATTTTTACTCAACATCTATTATCTGCCTACAGGGTGACAGTGGAGGACCTCTAGCTTATAACGGAAGATTAGCGGGAATAGTGTCCTGGGGTGTCGGATGTGCACGACCCAACTATCCTGGAGTGTATACCAAAGTTTCAGCTCTAAGAAGATGGGTCGATGAGACCAGTTATTACTTGAGAGTAAACCACTAAACAATATTCCTAAAATCTTATTTATTGTTGAGTAGATAGTTATAATAATTTATTATGTTCCTGTAATTTTTTTGTTCTATGACGTATTTGTGTATTTCAATAAATAAAATAATTAAACAAAGATTATTTTTGTAAATCCTGTTCCTAATAATCCCTATTTAAAGAGTAGTGAAATGAGTTACACAAATTTCTATACATATGTAAAAGAAACAGACTGTCTGATTGACTAAGCTTCTGTATATCAATGGACAGCAAATTACTGGGGCTAGAAACTAGAAATTTTACTCAGATATTTCTGTTATTACGAAGGCAAGCATTTAATAAAGATATTCCAGAAATAAAGCACCTTCTGCAGAATTCTTTGACATAGTTGTCAAAGAATCAATTGTCAAATAACCTTCACTAAAGAAGACACAATTTAGTTGTTTCAATAAAAATAATTAAGAGTCATTTAAGAATTTCTTTGATATTATTTTGTATAATTGTACATCGACAAAGTTTTAATATCCAGTAAAAAAAAGCAACTGAAAGAAAATATTTCGCCTCATAAGACTTGTTTATAACAAAACTTGTATTAATATTAAAGATGTTTTAAGAAAATAACATCAGACTATCGTTACCGTAGAAATTCACAGCCGTATCTCTTGTACTAGAAAGTACTGGCGTCCCTTTCATTACTTCTGACAAAACAGGGACAACAATATATGTAAAAATACAAGTCTTGCCAGTAGAATTTTACGGTAAAGAATACAACTAAAAATAAATAATGTATTGGACTAACAATCTATTCAACCTACGCTTACTATTGAGTAACATTGGTTAAGTAAAATCAAATTATGTTCATTTAAAAACATTAATTTCTTATCAAATACATATTATTATTATAATGTAGATGTGAGAGATTTTTTTTACTAAAAGTATTAGTAAATTTTGTGTTGATCTTTATTATGTTATAAATGCGAATGTGTAGATAGATGAATGTTTGTTTGAAGGTATCGCCGGAACGACTCAACGGTTCTTGATGAATGCATAGGTGTAGAACATCGTCTGGAAATGTTCATTAAACAACAATAAATAAGTAGCCAATGTGGATACATACATTAATTATTTTTTTTTAATTCCGTCCGGACGAAGCTAGCTTACTAATAATAATAACCATTCAAAATAAGCTTTAGGCTTGTACTAGGACAACATAGTAGAACAGGGATTCGCTCTCTCCAGCACGTGATTATCGATCCCTTAACCATTATTATTGGCGCTTTTCATGTTGATGATTATCAAACACATTTATTATTTGGCATAATTATAATTTAGGTTTCTGAGAATTACTGCTACGTCATAATTACCACGGAGTAAAGCACAAAATTTTTGCATTAATATGCAATTTCCAGGGATCCCGTATATTAATGAATGTTTTTAAATTTCGGGGAATAGAAATTATACAAAAATAAATGACTTACAAAATTTTCAAAACATTGTAATATTAATTTTTATTATATGTATTAGCCCTATTAGCATTATGTGGTAAGAAGTAGTAGAGGAGTAGATGTACTCCTAAAAAGAGAAGTATGATTTGCATAAACGGTGACAAGACTAAGAATGGAGAGGAACAGACCTGAAATAATGGGAGATAGTTCTGGCGGACCAAAAACTTAGACGTCGACTCTTTGTGATAGGAATAATGCATGCGCGTCGTCAGGGGTAAACTAAGATACTTATAATTCCTATAGATAATTCAAAAAATACTTATGAGTTATTTCCAATCTCCAACTTTGAAATAAAAATAAACCCTACCTGCCCCCTTAGGTCCAGCCTATTTATGCTGGCGAAACCTTGGGAATAAGTACAATGAGATGATGATGACGATGATGATTTTAACTACTAGTCCATACAATAAGAATCACCATAAACCCCTACTAAGGGCTTAAAATTCAAGAGGGTCAAGATGTTCAGAATTCATACGTCATAAATTTAAAAGAGCAACTTTTTATCTTTGATTTACACTGCCTTATTATTATTTATACTGTGTCAAATGTTGTGTAATGTTTATTTGTGCTACTAAAAGGCCAAGGTTTCCAAAATGAGGTCAAGCCCGCTTCAAGTCATAATCCTGTATCTTAGCTTTCATTCGCCGTTATACAAACACGGTCTTTCGGTTCTTCTGAAAAAATGGTAAACAATATCATAGACAAACACGTGCTAGATAAAATTATCTGATGCTCCATTCAAAATTAACACTATCTTCTAATCTCACATTTATCTGTCATTGTAATTTAATTTGTGTGAAGGTTTGATTTTATCACCGATAATTGTTATATTTGACCTAATATTTTATGTAACTACATGGTATAAATATAGTCTCCACCATGGCTGTGACATCCAGTTTCTTCAGTGCTTCAATAACCATCATGTATAGTCTACTATTTGTTTTCACCATTGTTGGTCTAGCGAGTAAGTACCCTATAATTTTCAAGTTATAATTTTGTTCGACTGTATTTATTTGAAGCTTAATTAAATTCGATTTCAAAAGAACAAAGATCAATAATCAAGTGCAAAACTGCAGTGACACTTATATTGCCGAAGGCTGTCTCTGTTTTATCGAAGAAAAAATGAGGGACGAAAATAAAAGGCCTGAAGTCGAAACCTTCAGTTATTACAGCCGACTCTTTATATAAGATTACTTTAATTAAATGAACATTAAGAATTAAAGAAGTTAATTTTATTTTTGTTACAGCATCGCTACCGACAAAATCTAAAGAAGATATTAGAATAGTTGGCGGAGAAGATATTGATATAACACTAGCTCCATATCAAGTATCGTTGTTAAGAAGAGGTCGTCATACTTGCGGTGGAGCTATCATTGCGAATGACCTCATTGTCACAGCCGCCCATTGTGTTACTGGGTAAGTACATAGCGAAGATGATCAATAGAAATCGAAGACAGTAGCCAAAAATAAGTCAAAATGAACGTTTTTACACCACCATCGTAAGTAGTTTGGGATTATTAAGAAAGACGAAGTATGTACAAAATAGTATAGTCATTAAGCTTGCATAGCTTATTGTAATCGTGCGAAATGTCTGAAGCGAATCAAGCCTTTTATTACATCAGAAGAATGCCTTATACCTTAATAGCTTTATAATATATCTTTTAATATAATCTTATGTTTAATTATTTTCAGTTCCAACGCCCGTGACTATTCAGTTCGTGTTGGTTCGTCGTCAAGTCAATCCGGTGGTCAAGTGATTCCAGTGAGTGATTTAGCATGGCATCGCAATTTCACTTATTCCAAGATGGACTGTGATGTTGCTTTAGCGAGGTTGTCAAAACCTTTGGTATATAGCGACAGTATTGCACCGATTGACATGCTACAAAATAATGAAGAGGTACCTGATGGAGATATCACTATGGTCACTGGATGGGGAAATCTTCGGGTGAGTTAATCTATCAGTACAATAGTCAATATTTTTACAAAAAAAAGAGTAAAGTAAAAGTGGGTCTGCTTATGTTAAGTTGTCACCCATGATGAAATATGTAAGAATGAAAAATTAAGGCATAACATTTCGAGTTCAAAGGTTTTAAATCATATTTTTTGGTGTTCTTAGGAAACTGGTGGATATCCAAGACAGCTACAAATGGTGTTAGTACCAACAGTAAATACCGCCATGTGTGATGTGGCGTATTCACCTTCCTACACTGTCACTTCTACGATGATCTGCGCTGGTGTACCTGAAGGTGGCAAGGATGCTTGTCAGGTACGTGAACTAAAGAGTAACAAGTATAAAAGTCTTTAGGATCACCACAACAGGAAGAGCAACAGGGTGGCATAGCGTCGTCCAATAAAAAAAAACAAATATCCCGATACACCACGCTACTCCTAATTTTGGTTTCTTCTACATCTACACATCTATAATGACATTTTCTGTAATTTAGGATACTTCTTCATTTTTAATTGAATCTGGTTTTTGTCACTCTTTCTTGATTCTCCCCTTCGAAATTTAACTGCAGTAACATACAGATTTCTCATTGCAACATTCTTGTTAACACACTTTTTTTTAGAATTATAAAAAGAAAGATTTTTTTTTGGTTTCAGGGTGACAGTGGTGGTCCATTGGTACACAATGGTCGTCTTGCGGGAATCGTATCCTGGGGTTTGGGCTGCGCTCGACCGAACTATCCCGGAGTTTACGCTAAAGTCGCTGCATTGAGAGACTGGATCGACCAAAACAGCGAAATGTTACGCCAAAAATACGTCTTAAGAGCATTTTAGTTTAAGCAAAGATGTTATTATTATGAATTTTAATTAATTTATATTTATTTTTTAGTAATTTATTAAAATAGTTATTTTGAATAAATATTGTCGAATATTAAATTTCTTATTATTTCGAAAGAACGACGCAGAATAATTTACCACACAAAAGTCTTTGATAGACAATGATGTCGATAACAGTCCTTCAAAAGGTAATTAATAATGTCTAATTGCCACTTAACTAAGTAGCAATCAGTGAACCAAACTCTAGTAGAGTTTTAAGTGATCAGGATAATAAAGCGTATAATTCTAACTGCGTAAAAGAGTTGTTAAATACTTTGAAAGCGAATTTAGTATGAATAATCTAAGATATTGAGTAAACTTAAGCCGACTCTGAGTATGGAACGACTTGTTAATCTCTTGCAGTTATGCGACACGCTAATTATCTGTTCTAAGGCCCTTTACAGACGAGGCAAGGTAACTCTTTATAATCCGATTATTTTAGTCGATAGGTAAATTACACATTACAATATTCCAGAGCGTTGGAGCATCTGCTGGTCCTGGGTTCGAATCACGCTATGTACCAATGTGTTTTACGATACATATAATCATTTACTTTAACTATTAGAAATTAATTTTTAATTTTTTGATAATTTTATTTACTGAAAACAAAGACTTCTTGGTAAATTTAAATTCACAATATATATCTATCTAATGTTACTATTATCTGAAATTATGAACATATAAAAATACATTGCTGTTTATTAGTCTCGCTAAAACTCGATAACTACTGATCGTATTTATCGTATCTTGATCTTGAGGTGTTCGTTGAATTTACGGGAAGGTTTAAAAGGTGAGAAAAAAATCGAATAATTGCCGGGAATTAAGTTTTTTTTTTCATTTCACGCGGACGGAATCGCGGGCGACAGCTAGTATGACATAATTATATCGAGAAAACATAAATATAGTATTTTGTAATCCTTATCAATTCCACTCTAAATTGAATTACAAATATTATCATAAAATCTCCACTTTATCTGTCATTACAACTGAAATGATGTGAAGGTTAATATTTATCAGTTTTAATTGTTGACCGTATACTTTTTTATATAATTTAAGTATATATGCACCAACTTAAACAAAGCAATCCAGAGCGTTAGAGTAATTGCTGCATAATGTTTAAATTTATATTGTTACTTCTAACTATCGGTGTAGTAGGTAAGGCAATTTCATTATTAGCTAGATTTTACTGAAATTCAACCATAATACATGACCAAAGTTTTTTGTGTTGTTGATCTTAAGGCACTTATTTTTCTCATTATCAAATTCGTATTCATTAGGTCCTTCATTTACGTTGTCTAGTGTACGGAAAGAAGCTAATTGATATTGAAAATCATTTACAATTTTTATCCTTTCCTGTCGACTTTATGGTACGTGTCCATTGGCCCATTTCAAAAAGCAAATCTGTTTAATTCCTGCGTGCAATGTGTACGTCACAAGCCAATGGACGTGTACCTTTAACCTAATAATGCAAGTGATATAATAGAATGTGACGATTTTAATTTCGCATTTTATAATATTTTAAAATCAAGTGGGTACAATAGTGAATTTGATTTTTGTTACAGCATCAGTACCGACAATTAAAACAAAAGAAGATGTGAGGATTGTTGGCGGAGAAGATATAGATATAACATCAGCTCCTTATCAAATATCACTCGTAAAAAATGGTAGACATTCCTGTGGTGGATCTATTATTGCCGTCGATACAATACTAACAGCAGCACATTGTGTTTTAAAGTAAGTAATACTAGGACTAATTTTTACAGTGGAAGAGTTCGCAGCACCATTAGCCTCATGCCACATCACGACCATAGTCATGCGTTAACTTAAAGTGTTTATTGTGGATTTTTTTCAGTTCCGCTCCTCAAGATTATATGGTTCGTGTTGGTTCATCATCGTATGAAAAAGGTGGTGATCTTTATCCAGTTAGTGATTTACTCTGGCATCCGAATTTTACTTATACCAAAATGGACAGTGATGTAGCATTATTGTTTCTTTCTAAACCATTAACATTCAATGATGGAATCGCTGCAATTGAATTGATAAATAACAACGAAGAAATTGAAGACGGTGATATCACAATGGTATCTGGTTGGGGAAATTTGCGCGTGAGTTGATTTCTTTATTAAAAAAAAGTAATGTGTAAGTAACTAGGTACAAGATAAAGCAATCCTGGCACCAGTTTTTGTTATTGGATTTTATATTGAATAAAATAATGCCAAAGAATGAAACATCCCTAAAAATATTTACGAAACTTTAGATTATTGGAAGGATACTTGTCAGAAGGTATCTCCGGAACAGCTCAACAGATCTTGATGAAATTTGACACAGATGTAGAACATAGTCTGGAAGAACAAATAGGCTACTTAATATTTTAATTCCGCGCTGACGGAGTCGCGAGCGACAGCCAATTTTTTAATAATTTCCATTTTACAGGAAGGTGGTGGTTACCCCACAACATTACAAATGGTACTGGTACCCAAAGTGAATTCAAATGAATGTAACAAAGCTTATTCACCGATGTATAACATAACGCCAACGATGTTGTGCGCTGGAGTTCCTGAAGGAGGCAAAGATGCGTGTCAGGTTTGTGTAGTTTCGTTATTCATTTCTCAGAAATAAGAAATACAACATTCATATTTTGCCAATATAACGCATACTATCACTTAGCAATTGGAATTATTAATCGAATTTGTATAAGAGTTACAGCGAGCTATCAATAGATGGCGCTGTTATTTATTCTTCTGCTTTGAAGAAACCAAAATAAATCTTTTTACCTATTTTCAGGGTGATAGCGGTGGCCCAATGGTCCACAATGGAAGGTTGGTTGGAGTTGTATCGTGGGGTTTGGGCTGCGCTCGACCGAACTATCCTGGAGTCTACGCCAAGGTGTCTGCACTCAGGGGCTGGATTGATGACAGCATCACGTATTTACGCCGTAAACATATATTTAGACCGTTTCCATTTATTGTATTAGATAAGTTATTTAAATTATAGACATTTAATATACATAATGTATTTATTTACGTCAGATCGACGTCACTTTTAATGCCTGAGAAAAAATGTGAAGTTAAATTTTATGCACGGGTTGTGAAATACACGATAAATTTATTCAACATACACTCTTAATTTAGACGCGCTATAAAATCAGTTTTATATAAACATAAATATTCTAAATATCAAAACAATATATTAATTATAAATTTAACTAAATATTAATTACATTTAAATTAATTAACATTAGAATCTAATCGTTATAGGTATAAATATACCCGCTCTGACGTCATAACATATTATTTTTACAAATTTAATATCGATTGATCATTTAATATCAAAGATTTAATCAGTCAAATCTTTATCCAATAAAATAACAGCACAATAGACTTTTTAATACAAAAGTAATAATTACATGAAACAAAGGAATAACGATCTTTGATAATAATAATAATAATATATAGTAACAAAGAACAAGTTAAAGAATTTAACTTAAACAATTTTAAACTAGCTGTCGCCCGTGATTCCATCCGCAGGGAATTAAAAAAAAATTAATAAGTAGCCTATGTGTTCTTCGACTATGTTCTTCACCAGTGCCTTTCATCAAGATCCGTTGAGCCTTTCCGGAGCTACCTTAAAACCAACATCCATCCATCTAAACTTTCGCATTTATTATATTAGTAAGAGTAAGACAATAAGATAACATAGATTAAAAATGTTTTTGTCCAATTCGTTAAAAGGAAAGGTGAATTTTCGTGTTAGTCATTAATAAAGATTACCGTGACGGCGACGAACTAAAATAATCTATAGCTGTAGGCCATAAACAGCGCGGAATAAATTTCTAACATTTGCTCACGACATATTCTTAAATATTTATAATAAATTTAAAAATATGTATCAAAGCACTTCTTGCTGTTCAAAATAAATTAAGCATATTAAGTCACAGGTTGGTCAAACTCGTTACCTTTATCGATAGATGGTTTGAACGACGAAAACTTGGAGCGCTGGCCCCACATTGAATGGGATAGAAAGATGATGAAGGAAAGTCATACTAATGAAAATATAACCATTTTAAATTGAGATAAAAAATTTAAAAACTTCATGGCCACAAAGCTGGAAGCAGAACGTCCGTCCTTTTGTTATCACTGGTCAGCTAAACCATTAAAAGCTTAGCGCGTTGTTCACACGTTAAAATTTACGATATATTTGCTATTGCATATTTCATTAAAATGTATATTTAAGTATTTCTTTCCTTAATACAAATCTGATTATGATGCATCGATACTTTCATAACGCAATTAGTAGCCGATGTGTTCTTCTACATCTATACCAAATTTCGACGAGATCCATGCAGCCGTTCTAGATATAACATGAAACAAATATCCATCCATCCATTAGTAAGGTGTCATGTTGGGTGTGTATTTCTACTGCCGAAACTCCTGTACTAAACTACATTGTCGATTCTTCAGTTTTAACTGTACAGCAGGGCAAGACAACATTCGATTGTCTATAACTATCGCTAATAAAATCGACATTTTTTTTCAAAATGTATAGGAAAAAACGTGACATGCTCGTGACATATCTAAAGTTATTGTCACTTTCATAGATTTTTGAAGTTCGTTATGGAATCGCTTCGGACCGAATACACTTTGTTTAATCAACTGTACGATTTCCTAAAATTAATCTCCATAAACAGTTATATACGATGAATAAAATATTTTCAAGCAGAATAAATATATTGTCGGAAATAAATGCAATAAAAAAAGAATAGCAATAAATTTTAGGAAATAATCTAAAATATACTCATAGTAAGTATATAAATTGGAAAATTTATTCAAAATTTGGCTAATTACAATTGCAAATTTCAAAACCAATTTGTTATTTATTGATAAATGAATATACTCAATTTATGAACAACATTATTTAATAATAAAAGTATTCACACAAAAACAACTTAAAAATAATTAAATTAGGTAGTGTGTTGTCATATTTGTTACTTACTACTTTGTCTTTATGCTGGTCATTTTATCTCCTTAACAACATGAATATTATTTTTATATCACTGTTTTTTTTTATATTATAATGTGGCAAACTAGCGAGCGGCCACCTGAAATCGCTGAAATAGCGAAGTGACCGTTGCCCATAGACATACGCAATTCCATATGCGTTGCCTACCTATAATCGACGGAGGAGAGGATGCATAGAAAGAAAATATCTTCCCTTTCTATGCATTCTCTCATCCGGAAAGTCCACTTACACTTCCCATCCTTTCCTTATAAGAAAAAGGGTGGGAAGGGAAAGAGGACTATATAAACTACTAGCAGCTAGCTACAATTCGTCCTCTCGAAATTACAAATTAATCTATTAAGTAATATATACAGCCTATGTCACCCGGGGACAGTGTAGCTTCCCAACAGTGAAAGAGTTTTTCAAATTGATTCAGTAGATGCCTAATGCAAAGAATTCCTATAGATAAAATTACTAGCTGTCACCAGCAACTTTGTCCGCGAGAAGTTAAAAACTTAATTAGTAGCGTATGTGTTCTTCCAGACCATGTTCTACATCTATGACAAATTTCAGCGAGATTCGTGCAGGCGTTCTGAAGATATCTTCTAATAAACATCCATTCAAACATTCGCATTTATAATATTAGTAATAAGTAAGATTTGCATAGACTACTATTACTACTACTATAAACGTTGTTAAGAACAGTTAGTTTGATAATTCGATTTCTATTCCATCAAGGTAATTGGTCTGATTCCATCCAAGTCGTAGTGTCCCATTTTCTTCAGTCAAAGTATCGAGGTCGGCCCTATCCACCGGAGCCAGCTCAATTGTCCGGATCTCTGCTCGCTTGCCATTGTTTTTCCTTCCATTTCACGTCATGTTTTATGCAAGAGTGAACAAGCAAAAGTTACAATAAATATTATATTTACTATCTGTCACCCGCGACTTTGTGTACGTGAAATTACATACAACCATACAAATTTACACTTTTTAATATTAGTCAAATAATCAAAATTATTTATGCAAATATTAATCTCACTTCTATTTATATTATTCTGTGAAATATTTGTACAATAATTGTTATTCGACGAGGCTATAATTTATTTTATATGTGACATTTCCAAGTGAAGAGGACTAATGCAATGCGAATACAAATTGCATTTAAATAAAAAAAAAATAAGGTGACTTATGAAATAAAAATACATAACTGATATCTCTCTATTAAACACATCATCAAAATGACATCAATATATGCTACAGTTTTATTTGACAGTTCAAAACAATTATTACAATTTGAAATTTATTCTCTACCAAGAAAAAATAAAAGCATTTAGTAATTATAATTTTTTGTTAAAAATCAACACCAATACGATTATTTTAAAAATGAAGTTTGCGGTGGCTTCAGTCACAGTAAAGCGAATTATATATTCACGAAAGAAACCCTCCAATGGTTTAAATTACTCCACAAAATTTGGAAAAAAAAATTAAAAATGCGTGCTTCATTGTTGCATAAGTACGTAATAGACCGTAATGAACAAAAGACGGCGATACACCGTTCGTACCGAAGCGCATATAACCCTTCTGGCGTCAAGCCAAATACCAGTCGGTGTAGAACACGTCACAATCAAACAGAGAGCCGTGCTAAAATATATCCGAGTACTACAAAAACATACTTCAAATATGACTAACTTGTCTTAAAACATTGTGCTCAAAGTGTTAAGACAATAATGTTTTGGTTATATTTTACAGCCGGCTCCCTAACTGTCGACAACCTTACGAAAGAGGAATAAATCTTACTAATGTTTGGATCGGTGGATGTTTGTTAGAAGGTATATCCAGAACTGCATGGATCTCGCTGAAATTCGGCATAAGTGTAAAACATAGTCTGGAAGAAAACATAGGCTACTAATTTATGTCTTTTATTAAAATTCATTTAAATTTAAATTAATATAATCGTCTTCAATTGGCCTTTCAAAACTTTACTCGTATTTCATATCTGAGGTCAAAATTGTGATAAAAAAATATAATTAATCAAATCCATTTAAATATTCCGTTTATTTCAAATGGATATAAAGATAAAATTGTTCAATAAAATGCTTATAAAATACTTATTAAAACAATTTCCTCAATGCATCATACTTAATTGGCAATTCATTTTAATGGGGCATAATATTAATTGCCGTACCGAGCGAATTTTAAGCCTAACAAGTCGTTAAATGAACGAATAACTTTACGTACCCTTTGCCTGTTTTACTTAAATATAATGTCGATACAGCCCTTTGTTAATATTAAGAATTCTTAGAATACGAAGAGCAATAATCTTTAAGCGAAAAGATATTGGGTAAAGCTTAAACGAGCTAACAATCCTGGGCAATATTTAAATGCTAATAATAACTATGTTTTGTGTTCTACGCAAAAGTTAACGTACTTATAAACTCAATAAGTGTCCCATAACTAGAACATAATTAAATAAAGTTAAACAAAATGCAAGAAAAGACTTAAATTTAGATTAAAATAATATTACACGTTGAACAAAAAGCAAGAAAAAATCGCAAAAAATATGTTTTTTTTTTATTATTCTTCTCAAACCTAAAGCGAAGTTTTATTACAAATAGTATTAGCTCATTCATCGAAATTCGACTATAATTCAGAATCTAAGATTTTTTATTTTTAACTAAATCATCACCGAAAATGTGCCAGTGTATTGACGCAACACTAACCTTACTAAAATATCGACGTTTTTGTTCCCTCACTATTCATTCTGAAACTGGACTTTGTAACGAAAGCACGTCATTCGCGTCAAAGGATTCTAATTAATAATGTCTAAAAATATGTATACCAAATTTCAGCGAGATCCGTTTAGCCGTTCTGGTGATACCTTCAAACAAACATCCATCAATCCAAACATTCGAATTTATAATATTAGTAAGAGTAAACTTTAAAGAACACAGGACACACATAAAAACTAAAAGGATACTTATTATCTATACTCGATAGACGTTTTATGTTTATCGTAATAACAGTTATAAAACACGTATTTTTAGATGTATCGCCATCCCTCTCATTCACATCTAAAACAACAGAGATAACAATAGTGCCTCACGCTAAATCAAATTGACGGTTATAATAATTTTGAAAACTTGAACTATAGTAGGCAGGCGGGAAAAATGGATTTGCCGATAAAAATAATATTTTGATTCATTGGAGTATAATTGTAAGAAAGAGACAAAAGAAACATAGTTCCGATTTTTCTTATAAGATAAGGGGACAAACGAGCAGTGGGAATACCAAGGTGTTCATCGACGCCCTTGGATATCTGCAAGACTAAGAAGACAGGCGTGAAGTGGAACCAATTCCGCGTTTGATGAGTGTGCCTCCCGGAGGCCTGATTTAGTCCTTTTTCCCTTCCTACCCTTTTTATTATAAGGAAAGGATGGGAAGTGGAAGCGGACTTTCCGATGAGAGGGTGCATGGGAAGGGAAAAGATTTTCTTTTTGTGCATCCTCTCCTCCGTAGATTTAAGGTAGGCAACGCATATGCAATTGCGTATGTCTATGGGCAACGGTCACTTCGCTACTTCTTCGCTCGTTTGCCACCTTTCAAACCAGAGGAATTCTTGTTTGACTATATCAATGAGTGTTAGCTGTCACTCCGTCAGGCGAGCGAAGCACTCATGTGCGATTTTATACGTAGTGTAGCGTCTGTGTGCCGCAAAATACTCTAAAGACTGGGAGTTTTTCTTAGCATAACCATTTTGCCCGTCTTTACTCCAATAATTTGCGGTCTAACCGGACATAACAGAGAACTTTTTATAGCTTAGAAAAAATTCTAACTAAAATGTCAGTTGAAAAATTAAAAATGTAAAGTGTTTTTTTTTTGTTTTTGTATTTCGTAACAAACAAGCAGTAATAAAAATATTTGTAAGTTAATAGACGTTTTCTGTCTAATAGACTTGTATATTGTTACATTCCATATTTCCATTTTTAGATTCTATAATTAAATTCAAAAATGTATAGAACTACTGAGTAAATTTTCGATAACGTGATTGTCAATTGTTAGTTCAATAGTTCATGGTCAAAAAAGTTGACAAACGGGCAAGCCTTTAACAATAAACTTTGTAAAAAAAAACAAAGTGGTTGAGTTAGTGGAAGTAACACTTAAGTACTTATAATCCCTTACTTTCTGCTTCCCTAGTAAGGTTAATTTAATTTATGCAAGACAATTAGAAAACGCCTACCTTATAAATATTTTTATTACTGCTTACCTGTTACGAAATACAAAAAAAAACTCTTTACAATTTTAATTTCTCAACCGACATTGTTCGAGTAGTATTTTTTCTAAGCTATTAAAAGTTGTATTTCATGTTATGTCTATACATTACCGTCAACATAAAAAGAGAAATAAATTAAAAAAATGTTTTTGAACGCTTAGATTATTCGGAATTATTTATTTGACAATAGATAAAAATCTTACTATGCAATATTATAAATGTTCAGATGTGTGAATGTTTGTTACAAGGTACTTCGAGAACGGTTGCTTGTATCTCGTAGAAATTTGATACAGATGTAGAGCAAAGTCTGGAAGAATACATAGGCTACATGTTACCGTAAAAGTGTACGATTCCCGTAAGATACGTTAATTTACATATCTACTGGATAACTCTGCAAAATTTTAACACCATTATTGAAATTCATCACAGATATATAACAGTCTCCAGTATAATATGAGATACACATCATCTTTTTTTTTTAATTTTGAGCAGACTTATTCGCGGTCTAAAGCTAGTTACATTTGTTAAAAACGAACTTCAATACAAATAAGAACCTGTTTTTTAGATAGATAAATATACGAGTTTGATGTAAAAGGAAAAAGAAAGCAAATATGCTCGTTGTATGTTTAATATTATTGGAATACTACTTCATTAAGTTTAATGCAGCAACTTTGAACAGACAAAACTAGTTGAGCTTAGACTTTAGTTTGGTATAGGTATTTTTTGGGACCATTTTTGGGACCATATTTTTCAAGTTATTTTTTATTTGGAATGTTGTTAATATAAGTGTATAATCAAAGTGTTGTGACTCCGAAAAATGAAATAACATTTCAATTTAAATGTGCATAAGAAATTCTGTATAGTTTTGTACAAAGTGAATTAATTGAAATAACAGTGAGCTTATTGAGGTTTTTACTAGCGTATAAACGAAGTGGAGTGGAGTGGACCAGGGAGGAGGTTTAATGACAAAGGAAAATTCTAACAATTCGCTGTTTACTTCGATATACTTAATTTATATTTAACAGTTCAGTATTGTAAAACAAATTAGGGAACGTACCCATACTACGTGACCCGTTTAGGGGGGGGGTCTTTAAAATACTACAAATTAAGTAATTTTTAAAAATGAATGTATCTTTAAGGACTTTGTTATTTCCATTGATATTAGTAATTTTATTTAATTGTGTAAATAGCGGTCGTATTTTAGCAGTGTTTCCAACACCATGTATAAGTCACCAGAAAGTCTTCCGTCCCCTGACACTAGAGTTACTCAGACGTGGACATGAACTAATTGTTATCACAACAGACCCGATGTACCCAAAACGTGAAACACCAGAAAATCTAACAGAAATAGATTTACACGACATATCATACAATGCTAAAGAGATAATTCTAAATGAAGCGACACCAAATAAACGCAGCCCTTTAGCTCAAGTATTCAAAATGACTGAACTATTTACAAATTTAGTAGAATTACAATTTCAAAGTGATGAATTTCAGAAAATATTAAGAAATAATGAGACTCAATATGATTTAATAATAATAGAGGCATGGGTGAGACCAATGTTAGTACTATCTCATGTATTCAAAGCGCCATTGATACAACTAAGTTCCTTTGCTGGTTTGGTTTACAATTACGAAGCCTTAGGTGTCCCAGTACATCCACTTCGATTTCCAACATTTATCCATAAAAAAATAAACAATCAATCTTTATTGGATAAATTAAAAGAAGTGCATTTATTTCTGTGGTTCAAATTTATAATAGCTAGTAGTGAAAGAGGTGAAAATGCAATGCTAAGAAGGATTTTCGGTGCAAATGTACCTACTATCTCTGAATTATCAGACAATATCGATTTGCTGCTTCTAAATGTTTATCCAATGTGGGTGGGAAACATTCCCGTACCCCCGAATGTTGTTTATATAGGAGGAATTTATAAAGATGCAGAACAAGACTTACCAGAGGTATGTATTTATTGAGAATGGTAGATTAACCAGTCATTTTAAGCGTGCCAGAAGTTAGTGTATGTGCAAAGACGTCTTAATAAAATGTAAACTTAAGTTAGTGAAACCTTTTGAGGTCCAGCAGGTCAGATGAGAACAGACTAACTCACCCACTGTAATGAATGAAGTATTTACTTTCTTTTCTTTTTATAGGACCTGAAATTATTTTTAAACGCTTCGAAACATGGAGTAATATATTTTAGCCTGGGCAGTAACGTTAAAAGTTCACAACTTTGTACAGAAACGATTGAAATGTTTTTGGAAGTATTTTCGCAATTGCCCTACGATGTAATATGGAAATGGGATAAAGGTCAATTATTATCAAGGACACCTAAAAATATTATGATATCGGAATGGTTACCGCAGTCTAGTTTGTTAAGTAAGTATACACAACTATAGAAAAAATGCTAATAAATAGCACACATGTATAATTTACTATCTAGGTTTTTATTTTGACTAGCTTTAATACTTTAATAGAATGATTCCTGCCGCCGAGTTCCGTCATCGGACGATACGACACACCGCCAGGTTCCATCCACACAACCTAGATGGCTGTCATTCCACAACGGTGCTATTCTTGCACAATTTCTTGCTTCGCTAAGCCGCGTTGTGGATCTGTCCTTGGAACCACCTTGAAACCAATACGACTTAGAGACCTTCAAGATGCGAGCATACCATTTTGGTGTCGGTGATCACCTCGGTGTTCCAGCGGCTCGTTTGCTCCCTTCTCTTAAGAAATAAAATGCATTATTCATGTTTGGCTTCGATTTTAAATTTGTTAATTTTACAGAGCATCCGAAAGTTAAGTTGTTCATAACACACGGAGGATTACAATCTACAGAAGAAGCAATATCTGCAGGCGTACCTTTGATTGGTATACCTTTTTATGGGGATCAATTTTACAACGTGGAGAGATATGAGCAATTTAAAATTGGTGTGAAAATAGACATTTACAACATTACAAAACAACATCTATATGAGACGATAATGATGGTAATTAAGGATAGAAGGTAAGTTCTAACACATTACTTTTTTATTTGCCACATTTATGCATATTGAATCACTTTACGTATTCATACAGCGTTTGTTCTTATTAGCGGCGTTGAATACAAGAAGTATTGATTACATAATGGGAAGAGATTAACTGTTGAAACCAGTCACTAGACGATATTCTGTGAGATTGTGATATTTTCTTCATCGATTCTATTACGGCATCCGCTCCTACCAGCGTTTAATCTCGCAACCTTTTCGTTCCTTATTCTTTTATAATCATTCTGAGTTCTAATTGTACAATTCCTCCTGTTCCTATGAAGAATCTTTCTCTAATTATTTCAGTTACCATCAAAACATGCTTCGACTACGTTCGCTAATGAACGACCAACCTCAATGCCCCCTCGAACGCGCGGTGTGGTGGACAGAGCACGTGCTGCGGCAAAGAGGCGCTGCGCACTTGCGCTCGCCTACTGCAAATATTACGTGGACTGAATATCTAGAAATTGATGTTTTCATAGTCATCGCTATCTTAATTTTAACTTTTAGTGCTTCTTGTATTTGGCTATTGAATTGTTTGTTGAGATATCTAATAAGTTCATTGTTTAATGTTAAATTTAAAACGGATTAATGTAACTTAGAAGAAATTATTTGTGCAGTCTGAATTTTTGGGATGATAGACAAGTTAGTAAAGTTAATTGTTACAAATTGTACTCTGTTATTACAAGTAAATGTGTTTTTAAATGAAGTTCTTATGATTTTAAAGTATAGTATATTTAGTTTAGAAAACTTGGGGAACAAGAACTATTAAAGCGATGACACGCACAGAAGGAAATCATTTCCTATAGCTTTGGAATACGAACAAGCTGCAAATTAAACATGGCAAGCTAATATTATAAATGCGAATGTTTGGAGGGGTGGATGGATGTTTGTTTGAAGGTATCATCAGAACGGCTGAACGGATCTCGATGATATTTGGTATACGTATAAAAAATAGTCAAAAAGAACACATAGAATATTAATTATGTTTTTTTTTAAACCACGCGGACAGAGTCGCGGTAGACAACTGGTTGCTATTGTTAATGAGACATTATGTAAGCCAATAGAAAATTAGTTCTTCAACGATTTTAGGCAAGTAGGTGCTTTAGTTCAACAGGAATTAGACGAAAAAGGTTGGGAAGTAGCTAATCCTCAATTACAAAGGTTGATCAATGGATAATAATCAATGTACAGTATAAATTAGCTATACAATATCTACGGAAATGAAATCGGACGTATGAATCGAGAAGTTGACACAGATTCTTTAGATTAGTTGCAATAGAAATTCCAACAATGTCTATTGAAGTTTCCAAGTCAATAGCTGGATTTGGAATCTAATTTCTTCCATGAGCCTGACGTACGCGTCTAACGAATTGCGATAAACTGGAACTGATTTTTATTGCTTTAAAAATGTCTCTTATGTTTTTGAATAAACATAGAGTAAGTAATAAATAATGTAATATTGAAATGGAAAGGTAATCTTTATATATATATATAATTCTTCTGTGAGTGTGTATGTCACTGAACTTCTCTCAAACAACTGGACCGATTTTGATGAAATTTTTTGTGTGTGTTCACGGGGATCTGGGAATGGTTTACATTCACAATTTTGTCCGCTGGACAATGTTTTTTTAATTAATTTTTAATTTATTAGTAGTTGTTGATTTTGGAATGTTTTACATTGGATCCGACAGATGGCGCTACCATGGCAGTGTTAAATTTTAAATAATATTCGAATTAAAGACGTGTAGACAGGACAACGTCTGTCGGGTCCGCTAGTACTTTATAATACTTTATTGCATGTAGAGAAAATAAAATGGAATCGAAAAATTACGTTAACAGCTTCTTTGTGATATAAAAATGATTTAAAATGAAGGTATATCATTTACATTAAAACTGAGTAATTATTAATTTTAATGCGTTATATTTGGAGTATGGATATTATTTAATAAATTATTACTATTGTTGTATTATGATTGTAATTAAAATATAATTTAAAAAAAAAAACTTTTTTAGACCACAAATGTGCTTGGATTTTGTTGACTTCAGTCCGTTAAGCCTTTAGGACGTGAGCCTAATTGGATCTAAAAAAGTTCTAACACTACGATCCAGCGTTACTAGAAACAGACTCTTCTACGAATCCATTATCAATGTTCTGAACAAAGTAACCTTTATTACAAAAAATAACTTAGGAAAAAACATTAAAATAAAACTAATGTTATTTAAAAGAGTTAATAAGTACCACTTAAAACACGATGAAAACTCGTTTGCTGACTATTTAGTCTAACTTATATTCCTTTACAATGAGGATCATTTTCTTCTTTATTTTAATAAACTTATATAATATTAAAACAGCAAGAATATTAGCTGTATTCCCAACACCGTCTATTAGTCATCAAATTGTATTTCGTCCTTTAACACAAGCACTATCAAGAAGAGGCCATGAAGTTACAGTTGTTACAACGGATCCTGTGAATTCAAAAGACCCTGGTCTATTTAATTTGATTGAAATCGATTTGCACAATATTTCATACAATTCAACTAACAGAAATGTATATGAAACATACGGTAAGCAGGAAAGTATGTATACACAAATATTTATGTTCGCTAATCTGCTTACAAATATCTTTGAAGAACAGTTAAAAACAAAAGAAGTGCAGAATTTGCTAAAGAAGAATGAAAATTATTATGATCTATTAATTCTTGAAGCTTGCATCAGACCTGCTTTAGTATTCTCACATATATTTAAAGCGCCAGTTATTCAAATTAGTTCTCTTGGAGGTATGTTATTCAACTATGAAGCATTAGGAGTTCCAATACATCCAACAGTGTACTTCACAACAATGCGACAAAATTTATATGACCTCTCAGTGTGGGATAAGATGATGGAATTGAAAGTATTTCTACAAGTTTATTTTGCACATTTTATTTGTGAACATTTACAAAATGTAATGTTGAGTAAATATTTTGGAAGTAACGTGCCTCGCATCGACGAACTGAACAACAATATTCATATGTTATTTCTAGCAACAAATCCAATTTGGGCAGGAAATACACCGGTTCCGCCAAGTGTCATTTTTATAGGTAGAATACATGAAAATACTGACGAACAATTGTCAGAGGTAAGTAAGAAAACAAACGTATTTAAATGTAATCAAGGAAATAATTTGCTAGGTATTGCATAATTCAAAATGGTCTGGAACAGTAATCCAAAATTTAAATAAAGAAGTAGAGTGCTGTTGTATTATGTTCAGGCAATTTTTTTAAACCTAAAATAATTTTATTCCAGGACTTGAAATACTTTCTAGATAACTCGAAAAATGGTGTAATATACGCTAGTTTTGGATCCAATGTAAAAACAAATGAAGTCAGTGCCAAAATTACAAGAGTTTTGGCACAGGTATTTACCAAATCATCATTAAATGTAATATGGAAATTGGATCAAAATGAATTATCGAATCACAGTGATAATATAAAAATTATGAAATGGTTTCCACAGGCTACTTTGTTACGTAAGTATTTTTACAATAAAAATCTATAAAAAATAGTGCTGAAAACGATCTGTCCAATACCATGACCAGACAAAACCGAACGAACTGACATGAACTGACAATATTTCCGCTCTTCGTCTGACGAATATGCTTTTAAATTCTAATTGTCTTCTTCCGAGAGGGACACTACTATTAGAAGGGCAAATATCCTCTCTGCGTCATTTACAACTTGAGATATAACAAATGAGAAACTTTTAAGTCCCAAATTCACAAAGATTGTGCATTTCAGGACATCCAAATATTAAAGTATTTATTACTCAAGGGGGCTTGCAGTCAACAGACGAGGCAATATCAGCTGGCGTACCTTTAATAGGTATACCAATATTAGCAGACCAGTGGTATAATACTGAACAGTATGTCCACTTCAATATCGGAGTAAAACTCAGATATGATACATTGAATGAGGAGCAACTACAGGAGAGTATTAATAGACTTACATTGTATGACAGGTCAGTAAATATTTTTTACTAGATTTATGCTAAAGGTACATTGGTAGGTTCTAGGAAGAGATGGATATATTATGCGAAAGATGACGTGGATATGAAAATGAACATCAATTTAGAGGACGAAAACCTGGTCCGTCGATGTTTCATTGAGTGAATGGAATAAAGACGATATGATGATAGTTTTATGCTAATTTAAAACCTATTATCCGTACTTTAGGTATATAATTTTAATGTTATTACATAAGAAATTACAGCTAAATATATAAACATGTGCTTTTTGAAAGATTTATATATTAGTTACAGTCTATCAGAATCTTGACGCAAGCAACTCCACGTAGCCAGCCACTCCACTCAATAATGTGTACAATAATTGTCGACTATTATTGAAAATTTCCTATTAGTTGTGTTATAAGATTTAAAGTAAAAACAGCATTAGTATAACAAACATATTTTATACTTTAGTTATCGGAAGAATGTCGTTAAGCTACGACAACAAATACTTGATCAGCCCCAAAAGCCATTGGAGAGAGCTATTTGGTGGACTGCAAACAAATCTTGGATGAGTTTGGAGTTGGAGCTTCTTTTCTTCCTGAGTGTTGCATTACTTATATTGTATGTTATGGTAAAGATTATAACAAAAATAACGAGTAAGGTAATTGGCAAGATGATAATATTTAAAATAAAAGAGAAAACGGCATAAAAATCCCTAGTTATTATATTATTTCAAGGTAAAGTTTTAATAATATGGTACTTAAGTGGTTATATTAGTGTTTCATTTAACTACGCCTGCTGAAAAAAAATTGCAATAATTTAATTATACACAAAAAGTTGAAATAAATTTAGCGGCGCTTATAGAATTCAACGTAGAGGTCCCATATTTGAAATTGTAATCAACGTTGACATAACAATGATAAAATATCTCTTAAAAATAAAACAATAAGAAAACAACAAGAATTAAAACACTGCACTGCTAAGACTGCTCTGACAAATTTCCCATCATTTATATTTAGGTCATGAATAGTAGGACGGGCCACGGAAAAGGCGATTCTGTTTGCTAGAAAAAAAAATAATTAAACACGTTTACAATTTTGCAATTTATCGAGTTTTTCACGAAATGAAATGGGTAATTAAAAATATTATTGTGCCAACAATGATTCTCTCGAATGTTTATGTATTTATCCAAATAAGCTTTTTTACAATCATTTAAAAAGTATTTAATTTACAATCGCTATTCTCCTAGCCCAAACTATAATTTACTTTACATTCCCATCTGACCATTGGCCGAAATTGGTTAGGATAAAATGGAGGTGATAATTCAGTTCCGTCGTGACTCGAATCTCCATGGTTGAAATTTTGTTTAATGGACATTCGATTAACCCATTGCGTGACAGTGTTTAAATTTAAATATTGAATTCACTGTCATGGACAGGCTATAAGCCTTGGTATTTCGTGCCTATTTGATTTTACTTCATTTTAGCGATGAAGGCTGCGGTTGCTAGCGGGGTTGATAAACTAAAAAAAATAATAATTTGTGGCCTATGTGTTCTTCCAGATGTTCTTCATTTTGGACATACCTTCAAACATCTATCCATCCATCTAACACTCGTATTTATTATATTAGTAAGATAACACAGATCTACCTAAAGGTGTGCATGTGTACATGTTTATTACACAATAATGAATTACATACTCATATCTACAACTAGATATGCGTGTGTACCGTGCGATTACTTGCACCGTATGAGGTAAGCGAAGATATCAGTCACATGGCCGCTTTGGTTTTCTTATTTTTAGTTTACGGATTTATTTCGTGTTAAAAAATCAATTTTGTTGCCTTTCATTTTAAACGTAACATATGCATGAAAATCCTTTATTTAAAAGTTCTAAGCAAAAGCAATCATATGGCCAAATCATTCAGTAGATACAGACATGTGATATATTTACAAAAATACAAAATATTAGCTGTCGATCGAGAGCCCATACGCATGGATTGTATAAAATAGTAGCGTATATGTTCTTCAAGGCTATGTTCTACATCTATGTCAAATTACAGCACGAACTCTGCAGACGGTAAGTGTTCCGAATATACTAAAAATCTGGTACGCGTGGACAAACAAATATTGATTTTTATTTATGTGGCCAAATTAAAACGAGTTTATCATTTTACGTACTTAGAAATGTGTAATTATTGTGATAGAGACGTGATAACTGCGTGTTTAAAAACGTCATCAGTCTTAGTCATTAGTCAAAATATTGTAATTATAATTCATAAATCGAAGTAATTCCTACCCAAATGAATCACAATGAAACTGTTAGACGTATTTCTTCTAAGGAATAAGAGTCTGTTAACACTTAATTAGTCAAAAGACATTAGGTTTTCTTAGAGAAAGAAAACTAGCAAACTGGTCTAACTAAAGTCATTAAGCGAGAACGTCATTAAATATCAATCAAAATTAAAGTAATGACTTCATTGTAAATTAATGTAAAATAAAACGATACTTTATACAACTAAGTCTTTTATATTGTCAGTATTCTTTTAATATTGGTCTGGAGAGATAGTTATAAATATTAGTCTGTGTCTTTCTAGTAGTGTCTAGTGTAACTAACAAAGAACTATTTTCTAGATCCTTCGAAGTCCAGTACTAGACTTGGAGGACACTTACTTACTCTTGGATTTACGCAAGCGATACCTGAAACTGTCAACTAGGGGTCGACCACTCGCCCGTCATATAGTGTGTAAAAAACAATTGAACAGCAAATGTATTTACAATGCTGTTAATATTCATATTTGTGATTTACATATCATCAACACAATGTGCAAGAATTTTGGCGGTATTTCCAACACCATCTATAAGCCATCAAATTGTTTTCCGTCCGTTAACGCAAGAACTTGCAAGGAGAGGTCATGAGCTCATCATTTTAACTCCAAATCCAGCATTCCCTAAGGGACAAGCACCGAAAAATATAATTGAAATCGACGTCCACAACGAATCCTATGCAGTTAAGAATCAAACTACAAAAGAAGCATATGAAAAAGATACAAGTTCATTGAAAAAAGTAGAATTGTTATCACAATTATTCGTCAGAGTTTTCAGGGTACAATTGGAAAATGAAGAATTTCGAGCTATACTAAAATTAGATAAAGATTATTTTGATTTGTTACTTGTAGAAGCTTGTGTAACCCCTACTTTAGGGTTGTCACACATATTTAAGGCACCAGTTATCCAAGTCAGTTCAATGGGAGCATTAATGAGTAACTATGAAGCTCTTGGTATTCCGATGCATCTGTTCTTCTTCCCATCGAGCGTTCGTAAAAGAAGTCATAATCTATCGTTAACAGAGAAACTTTCAACTCTTGTAGAATTTGCAGTTTCTAAGTACGTAATGAGAAAGACTAGAAATTTAGAAAATAATTTGCTACGTGAACATTTTGGTGACAATATACCTTCATTAGATGAATTAACTAACAATATTGATATGTTATTCCTAAACACGAATCCTCTTTGGGCTAATAACTATCCAGTACCGTCTAATGTTATTTTTGTTGGAGGAATGCTTCAAAATGCAAGGAAAGATCTACCTAAGGTAAGCTTAGACTTTGATTTAGATTTACTTCGTATAACTATTAAATATTACTCAAATAATAAAAATGTTTCAGGATTTAGAAGCTTGGTTGAATTCGTCTAAGAACGGTGTTATTTATGTTAGTTTTGGTAGTAACGTAAGTAATAAGACGTTTTCACATAAAACAAAACATGTTTTATCAAATGTTCTTTCCAATTCACCCTACGATGTACTATTAAAATGGGATGAAGATGTATTAATAAAAGAATCCAAAAATATTAGAATTGGAAAATGGTTTCCACAGTCAGATTTACTATGTGAGTATATTTAACTCTTAATCCTAAGAAATTCTTTGTACATGGTGGGAGCCTGGGCCTATAGATTGCAAATCAAGTGCTTAACCCCTGAGCCACCGACGCTCATTCAAATTCCTTATATTTTTATTTCCAGATCATTCAAAAATCAAACTATTTATAACACAAGGTGGTTTGCAGTCAACTGATGAGGCAATAGCAGCTGGCGTACCTATGATCGGAATACCAATATTTGTAGACCAGGCTTACAATACTGAACAGTATGAACATTTTAATATTGGCGCTAGACTTAATTACAATGAACTAACAGAGGAAAAGCTTAAGGAAACTATAGATACTGTAATAGAAGACGAAAAGTAAGTAAAATGTTATTTTAGTGTAACTGATAAGTAGGTTATATTGTTCTTGGGTTGTTTCTTTATTGTTGATGGATGTTGATGATGGATGGATGAAAGTTTGTTAAAAGGTATCTTCAGATCCGCTTAACGGATCGACCTGAAATTTGGCACTGATGTAGAACATACATCGATGTAGAACACAGTATGGAAGAACTACAAAGGCTACTTAGCGAAAAATAAACAGGGCTGCGGGCGACAGCTAATTGATATATATTCTCATCCCTTTATATCTTTGACAATCGGAGACTACTATATTAATACAAGTATCACAGAAGATGAATTCTACGGCGTGGGTAAAATCAATCAGGCTTATTCAATTGGCTGTAACGACAAAATTATTGCAGTAAAACCGTATTGATAAGTGTCGTTATCAGAATAGCTGATCCAGCTAGTACGATTTTAATTTAACCAGGGTTAAGATCTGAATGTGACAAGGCAGTGCTTTACTATTATAACATTCGTAAAAAACGGGATTCAAGTGATATGCCAGTGTGCAGAAATATCGGGAGATTACCAATTTACCAAGACAAGTGTCAGAAAGATTAGTGAGGGGAAAATTTCGACATTTTAGTAAGGCTAGTGTTGCATCAGTACCCCGGCACAATGTCGGATTTTCTTTCTAACAATACTAACTGTATATTACGTTTTTACAGATATCGTAACAATATAATTAAATTAAGGAAGATTATAAATGATCAACCACAATCACCTTTGGATAAGGCAGTGTGGTGGACAGAATATGTTATACGAAACAATGGAGCACAACATTTGAAAAGTCCAACAGCAAATATCTCATGGATAAAGTATTTGGAAATTGAATTAGTTGCTACTCTTACAATAATATTATTGTCATTTATTATCTTTTTAATATTAACAGTCAAGTTCCTGGTTAGACTAACCATTGGTATGTTCCGAAAGTTGAAAGTGAAAAGGGACTAACTATATATATTATAAATATATTGCATTCTGTTTAATTATAGATTTATATCCTTCAAAAAGTTAACACTTTAAATATTTTTTTCATAAATAGATAATTTAGATTTTCTATTAGCAACTATATCTAATTGAATACATAAATTTGTGTCTAATAAATATATTAAAAACTAAATCTAATTACATCACAATTTCTTTAACTTATCACTAGTATTTGAGAAATTTAATACAAACGACAGTAAATTTCTAATAACAAAGAATATTAATACTGTTAAAATTATGAAGACAAAAACTATGCACGAAAGTAACTCTACTTCGTAATATTCAGTCCATGGTAAATTGGCAGCGGGCGCCCGCAAGTGCTTAGCACCACCGTTACGAAGGACATATTGTATCCACCAGATGGCACGCTCCAGCGGCGTCTGCGGCTGATCTTGCATCAATGATCGTAGCCTCACCATGTTATCCTTGTAGCTAAAAGCATTATAAAAAATAAATAAGATTTGTTACTTTTAATACAAGGGAAGAATATGAATCGTTTTAAAAAAATTAGCTCGTTGCTCGTTAGATCAACCTTGCTTGAGCTTGCTAGCAATATTTAAATGTATAGATTACTTTCAAGATGGATGTGACTCATTGTTCTTACTTAAGTAAAAAGGAAAATGATACATACCATTTATTCTCAACTAATTCAAAGATTGCATTTTTCAAATTCGTTTCTGTAATATCTTGGAACATAAGCTTTACTCCAATTTTATGATGTACGTATTTCTCTACGTTATACCTTTGGTCTCCTAATATTGGTATACCAAGGAGAGGAACACCAGCTGTGATCGCTTCGTCAGTAGACTGTAAACCTCCTTGTGTTATGAACATTTTGATATTAGGATGCCCTGATGAAAATATAACAATCTTTATTCGGGAAGTGAAAACTTTCTACCCCTTTGTAAGGAAATTGTGGAAACGAATGAAAATAATGTGACATTTTTAGTATGAGTACTAGTTTGCCCTGACTTAGGATACGTTCCCTTAGTGGGGTCGTATAATAAGTTGTTGATGGTGTACTTATAGAATACAAATCAATTTGACATCTTTTTCATAAGACTTACTCAACAAATCAGCTTGCGGTAGCCATTTGAATATTTTAACATTGTCCGATTTTATCGGAAAGTTATCGTTATTCATCTTCCATAACACATTGTATGGTAATTCGGCGAACACTTTTTCAAAGACTGCCATTTTTTCTACAGGCAATACAGATGTGTTAACGTTTGTACCAAAACTGAAATATATTACACCATTTTTCGAAGCATCCAGATATTGTTGAAGATCCTGGAATATAAAATATTGCACAGAAACTAAACGACAACATGATCACATTTCATGGTATACACTGAAAAAAGTTCTGTTCTTTAGCAAATCTGCTACTGATCTCCAGGACTCCTCATAAATTGACTGGTCCCAATTTTTTTTTGTTTCTCTCACTGAAAGAAGTTTTTATTAGCTTAAAAATTATACCTGTGGTAATGATTTCTGTGGTTTTTGATGTAAACCACCCATATGTATAACGTTCGGTGGCACTGGATAATTCCCTTCCCAAATTGTATTTAAATTCACAAAAAGCATATCAACATTATCTCGCAATTTATTTAAAGGAGGAATATCGGAGCCAAAAATTCTCTTAAGAAATTCATTCATGTTCTTCTCGCTCATTTTATTACTAAAATCAATATGCAGTTTGTTATATAGTTCACTTGCTTTTTCCCATAAAGTCAAATTATAGAGTCTATTGCTAAAGGGATGATGGTATAATAATGGCGTTGTCGGAGCTCCCATCATTTCGTAGTTTCCAAGAAATGGCCCCAAAGAGCTTACTAATATAGTTGGTGCTTTTGTTAGATGCGTTAATGCCAACATGGGTGTAAACAATGCTTCTATCATTAATAAATCAAACTTCTTTGTCTTTATCTCATATAATAAATCTTGAAACTCTTTTGATTTAACTACAAATTCAGTTTGTGTTTTTAGAAAGTCATGAACAGCTACAGCCACATTTAAGTTGTCGAATACAGTTTCTGGTCCATTTTCTTGAATCATTTTATGCATCATTTCATATGATTGGTGTATATCGATTTCGGTAAGATTAGCTGGAGCACCGTCTTTTGGATACATAGGATCTGGTGTCACCACTGTAACTTCATGTCCGAGTTTTAATAACTCTAACGTCAACGGTCGAAAAACAACTTGATGACTTATCGATGGACAAGGATATACTGCTAGAATTCTTGCTCCTTCAATATGAAGTGTTCCGAACACCAAAACAACAAACAAACTTATTTCTAACATTTTTAAATATCACTTATAAAATTTGTAATAAATATGATTATGTATTAGAAAAAACACAATAGCTAGCTAATTATTACTGATAACATAAGATTCAAAATGCTTTATATATTCTGATTCTGTTTTTTATCATTTTATTATATCTATCACGACGCAACATTGCCATAGGAAGTATGCTTATCTATTATCTAACATAGTCTACTCGTACAATTAGTCATTTCATATACTTTTTGATAATATAACATTACTTCAATATTAACTTTTTTTTTTATATCACAAGTTGGCAAACGAGCGAGCGGCCACCTGAAATCGCTAAAACAGCGAGGTGACCGTTGCCCATAGACTACGCAATTGCATATGCGTTGCCTACCTTTAATCGACGGTGAAGAGGATGCACAGAAAGAAAATATTTTCCCTTTCCATGCATCCTCTCATCCGGAAAGTCCACATCCACTTGCCATCCTTTCCTTATAAGAAAAAGGGTGGGAAGGGAAAGAGGACTAATTTTGGCCTCCGGGACGCACACTCATCAGACGAAACGCGGAATTGCTTCCACTTCACGCCTGTCTTCTGTGTGGTTGTGGTATTTCACCAGGCGAGCCAGGCCGATTCGTGCGAAGATGTTAAAGCGGGCTCTACCACTGTTAAAAACTTCTACTCGATCGTTAACCGCGTGGATTTCTATGTAGCATAAACTTTTATGAAAATTGCAACCATTACTTAAATGTAAAATGATTTCATCAGATAGAAATTCACATTTGAATAAAACTTTTTTTTTATATTACAAGGTGGCAAAATAGACATGGCATCCGCAATTGCAATTTACTTTCTCTTCCTTTGCATCCCCTCATCCGGAATATCCAATTCCTATCCTTTCCTTCTAAGAAAAAGAATAGTAAGTAAATAGGCTTAAATTGAGGCTCCGGTACCACACTCATCAGGTGAAACGCAGAATTTTCTGATCTTCACGCCTTTCTTCTGTGTGGTCGCTGTATTGCACCGGGCGCACCGAACAATTGAAGATGTTAAAGCGGGCTCTACCACTGTTAGTTGATAGTGCAACTTAAAGTTCTTTTTATATTATAAGGTGGCAAACGGGAAAATCCAAAATCATCAGATGTAGGCTTATTAGGCAATATCTTATGTATAAAAAAATCTTTAATATTTTTGGGACAATTTGGCTTTTATCAAGATTAAACATAAATTATTAAGATATTATTATAATAATCTTGTAAGCATGTCACGCATAGAGCATGACTACATCACTATCTTATGATACTCTATCTCTTCACAAGTACGACAAAAGTATTCTAGTATAATAAAATGAAAATAACTATCAAACAATGTATTGCTATTTTATTTACCAAGGCGCTACCGTTAGTTATTCGCTATCGTTAATTGAGTTGCATAAAGTGGAAAACCCGCACGCGGTCACCTGAATACGCCGAAATAGCGGAGCGACCGCTGCCCATAGACACACGCAATTGTAAATGCAATGCCTACCTATAATCAATGGAGGAGGGGTCGCAAAGAAAAAGGACATAAGTAGCCCTTCCTTTGCATCCCTTGAAATTCACTTCCCCTTGCCATCACTTTCTTATAAGAGATGAGTAGGAAGGGAAATGAAATGAAAAATTAGGCCTCCGGCACGCACACTCATCAGGCGAAACGCAGAATAGCCTCCGCTTGAAACCTATTTCGTAGTTGTGATTTGCACCAAGCTAGTTGGTGCAACAGATGTTATGGTTGCTCGGATTTTCATGAATAAATAGCCAACAAAACACATCTATTGTGTAATTAAAGGTATTAAATTAATAACGTAGATTCCAGGTACTTAATTCACCAGAACACTCAATAAACAGTGTGAATTTTACTAAATTAATTCAAACACGTTTTACATTTTTTTCATTTTAATTAAATTTCTTCCTAATATCACGGTCGCATATTTGTACAAATATCTTATCAAGATATATACCAAGGTAATTACTATAATTAAACTTAGAACAACTAAAGTGAGTAATTCGATTTCGTAATATTCAGTCCATGGTAAATTAGAGGAGGGAGATTTGAGATGCTTTGCTCCACCGTGTCTAATTACGTAATTTATCCACCACATGGCCCGCTCTAACGGAGGTTGCGCCTGATCTTGCATCAAAGAACGTAGACGAGCTACATTATCTTTATAACTGAAAACAAGATTTATTTAAATCGAATGGCATCTTATTCTTAACGGTCAATCCTTACACAACAAGAAGTCGCAAGGATACTAATGGTCAGTAGCACTTCACAATAGGCGGTAATTTTTCACACAAAGTTTTTTACGGTTATGTATTTCCAAATAATTTTCAAACCTTACAATTTATGATCTTTCATCGTCCTAAATGTTTAGTTGGTTGGATGGATGGATGTTTGTTAGAAGATATCGTCGGGACAGCTCAACGGATATTGATGCAATTTAGCACAGATATAAAACCGTCTTCGGCTAATTAAGTTTTTTTTTTTTATTATATCCGCGCTCACAGATTCGCAAGCAATAGACCATTCATATTTTAAATATTGGTAATTTCATATTATATCTATTCACCTTTTATCCTCCACTATTTTAGTTATTGCATCCTTCAGTTTATCCTCAGTTAGATTTTCAAAGTCCAATTTTATACCAATTTTATGATATTCATATTTTTCTGCATTATACCACTGATCACCTAGCATAGGGAAAGCAATAAGTGGTACTCCGCCCGTAATCGCCTCATCGGTTGACTGTAGTCCACCTTGAGTTATGAACACTTTAACATTTGGATGTCCTGAAATACATTTATAATTTTAAAACTTTGCTGTCTGTCAACCGACACCCTGTGCCACACAACATGTCTGCGAGGCAGAAAGTTCCGCGATAGCGCACCGTTCAGGAATGCCAGCCATTAATGTGATATGGATAGTATCTGGCTATCTTACACTTACTAAGCAAAATTGTAATCTAATTAATATTATTTTTAATGATCTGCATGACTTTTAAATGTAGAATAGATTGTCTATCAATGCTGATAAAAACTGAATTCATATGTGCGGCCATTTAGCGGGTCACAATTTAATCTTTATTCTTCTGTGAGTGTGTATATCACTGAACTTCTCTCAAACGACTGGACCGATTTTGATGAAATTTTTTGTGTGTGTTCAAGGGTATCTGGGAATGGTTTAGATTCACAATTTTCATCAAATATTAACTTCATATTAATGTATTCAAATTAAAGACGTGTAGACAGGACAACGTCTGTCGGGTCCTCTATTGTATTATTAAATTGGTGTATTAAAAAAAGTAATGAGATTGAATGTGGATGGCTACAAAGGTAGATGAAGACCAAAGAAAGTATGGAAGGTATGTGTCAAAGAGGGTATGCGTAATGAGATGCGAGAGATGTATGAAGGAGTAGTACGTACTGTGCCGACCCTAGGGATAATGGCAGGTTGATGAATTAAATATATGACATTAATTATAACTAACTTAATAAATCAGATTGCGGCAACCATTTGTGTATTTTTACATTAGGAGAGTCAACTTTGAAATCGTCTGTATCCCATTTCCATATGACATTGTACGGTAGTTGAGCGAATACTTTTTTGAAAATTTCAAACTTTTCCTGTGGCATCATAGATGGTCTAACGTTAGAACCAAAACTGAAATAGATAACACCGTTGGTAGAGTTATCGAGATATTCCTTTAGTTCCTGAAATATAAATCGTATTTGAATCCTAAAATGTGTAAAGTTTCTTTCTTAAAAATTCTTATTTGACACATTGTCCGCTTTATCTACTTTTGAACTTGTTTCACTTTCACTTACTCTTGGTAATTCCTTAGGAGTGTTTAAATGCAACCCTCCTACATAAATAACATTTGGTGGTACTGGATAGTTTCCTTCCCATATTGGATGAATATTCAATAACACCATATCCACGTTACTTTTTAAAACGCTTAAATCCGGAGTATTTGGTCCAAATACGTCTTTCAGCAGTCTGTTGTTTTTATCTTCAGCTTCGTTTAGTATTTGTTGAAGTCTAAATGTCATGTATAGTTCACTGACTTTCTCCCATGATGTCAAATTGTAAAGTCTTTGTCGATACATATGGTGATATAAGAAAGGATGGCTTGGCGATCCTATTATGTCATATGTATCTATGTATGGTCCAAAAGAACTGAACATAATTATTGGCGCTTTAAATACATGTGATATTCCAAGAAACGGTGTGTACAAAGCTTCCACAAATATTAAATCATATTTTGTTGATGAATCGTTTATAAGATCTTTAAATTCCTTTAAATTCATTTGCGCTGCTGACGAATAATGAATAGCCGATGTCATGTTAACAAATTGCATGTACAAATCAGATTTGCTCCCCGTCACAGATTTGGCAAAGTGGTCGAGGTATATTCCATAAGTTGCGTTTAATACATCGATTTCTCTTAGATTTTTAGGAGCCTCGCCCTTTTTAAACATCGGAAAAGGTGTCAAAACAGTTACATCATGACCTTGCTTTATTAATTCCAATGTAATCGGCCGAAAGACTACTTGGTGACTGATTGACAGACAGGGGTACAAGGCCAATATCTTCGCAGCTTCATTATTGCTAATGATGATACTTAAAAGTAAAGCAATCAACTTCACTACTATCATTACAACACTTTTATATAACAACTCCTTATTTTATAACAACCTGTTTAAAACTAGATGATTACAAAAATACCAAAGCTATTTATTAAAATTATCTTGATGACTTTATCGAATAATTTGTTTTTGCTATCATCAGCTTCGTCATCTCCTAATATTAAAATCGTGTTACTACACACAGAATCTTAAAACGCAAAAAACTTGGACAGCATTTCAAATTTATTTTAGCTCTAACACATACTTATATTTGCGATAACACCCACGCTTATATTAAGAGAGGTGAACGTGCTGGTTATTTTAATCAACAGTCAGGCAATAACCTCAAAACTGATTGTAACATATTAATTTCTTTGTTATGACTGGTTGCCAAATTGTGAATGTATAGTACTCGTCTGTCGTGATCCTATTAATATTATAAATGCGAATGTTTAGATGGATGGATGAGTGGATGTTTGTTTGAAGGTATCTCTAGAACGGCTGAACGGATCTCGGTGAAATTTGGCATACATATAGAACATAATCTGGAAGAACACATAGACTACTAATTATTTTTTTTAATTTTACGCGAACGGAGTCGCGGGCGACAGCTAAGGTAGAATAAATTGATTATTTTTTGTATACTTTTAATAATAACAAATAAAAGTTACGCAAGATTGTATAGTTGAATCACGCTTATGATTCATACACGTTGCAAACAAATCGGGTAATCCGTTTGATGCTCTTGGCTGTTGATTATAATTTATCTTTCATTTTATGTTGTAATATCGCCTTGTTTTTGGACAATGAACCTTATCTTTATAAAAAATAGTATGGTTTTCCTTGTACCATTTTAAATAAAAATAACCTTAGATATAAAACTGGTATATAAACAGAGTTGAAATAACAATGACCAAGCTTTATATTTTTAGTATCGTAAGTGTCTGTCCGGTAAACATATCAGTAAACTTTACCTTAAAAGATTTTAGTTCTTAATAATAATAAATTATACAACTAAATTCAAAATGTTACGGTTCAGTTTATGTCTAATATTATTGGTAGGATCAACTTTGAATATTGAAGCATCAAGAATTTTAGCAATATATCCTTGTCCGTCGATCAGTCATCAAATTGTGTTTCGACCGTTGACTTTAGAACTACTTAAACTCGGCCATGAAATGACTGTAGTGACCACAGATCCAATGTTCTCCAAAGAAAATGCTCCAGCAAATCTAACTGAAATTAACGTTCATGACGCCACATACGATGTTATTAGAAAAATAATATCCAATGTAGTTACTGGAAGTAAATCTGATGTACTAAATCAGGCTATTGTTGTCAAAGAACTTATATATAAAGCAACTGAAGCAATCTTACTAACAAATGAGGTTCAACATATACTCAAGAATGAAAAAAGATATGATTTGATATTCATAGAAGCATTGTTTACTCCCATGTTGGGTATAAGTCATAAATTTAAAGCACCAACTATTTTAATCAGTTCATTTGGACCTTTCATCGGTAGTTACGAAATAGTTGGAGCACCTACTAAAGCACTTTTATACCATAACATGTATAGTCAAAGACTTAATAATTTAACTTTATATGAAAAAATATCAGAACTATACAATTATATACGTATTCAATACATATTTAACCACAGTGATGAGAAATTTAATGAATTGCTTAAACGAATTTTCGGATCGGATACGCCAACTTTATCAAAGCTGAAGGATTATGTTGACATGCTATTTGTGAATATTCATCAGATTTGGGAGGGTAATTACCCAGTACCACCTACTGTTGTACACATGGGTGGATTGCATCAAAAGCCACAGAAGTCACTTCCTAAGGTTTGTTCATCATTTCCAAACCATTATTAACTTCATGGAGAATTTCAACTTCAATTTCAAATGGATTTCAAACAAGTGATATATATATTTTCAAACTTTATTCTTGATATCGTAAAGGAGATATTATAGCAACGTCATAGACAGAAAGATTATAATGTATGTAATAATTTATTTACAGCTTTTTATCTACATTCCAGGATCTTCAGCAATATCTCGATGCTTCAGAAAATGGTGTGATATATTTTAGTTTTGGAACTAATGTCAACATATCTCATCTTCCTCAAGAAAAAATTATGATCTTCAAAAAAGTTCTCTCAGAATTACCATACAATGTATTGTGGAAGATAAAGGATCATTATTTACCTGAAGAATTTAAGAATATCAAAACATTTCAATGGCTACCACAAGCCGATCTATTAAGTAAGTAAAAAAAAACTGAGACAAAATTAATTCCAATAAGTATTGTACATTGGATGGATGGATATTTGTTAGAAGGTATCTTCAGAATGGATGCATGGATCTTCCTGAAAATTGTCATATACTTGGAACATAGCCTGGAAGAACACGTACACTACTATTATATTTTTTTTTTCAATAATGCGCAGACGTAGTCGCAGGCCACAGCTAGTAAGATATGTTTTCTTAAAATAATAGTTATATTTTCAGGGCATCCAAATGTGAAGATATTTATAACACAAGGAGGTCTGCAATCTACCGATGAAGCAATAACAGCTGGTGTTCCATTAATCGGTGTTCCGATTTTAGGAGACCAATGGTACAATGTAGAGAAATATATCCATCATAAAATTGGAGTTAGATTGTATCTCGAAGAACTCAGTGAAGACGGCTTAAGGAATGCAATTTTAGAAGTTATTGAAAATAAAAGGTAAAGTTTTATTGAGAACAGATTTGAGCCAATTATATTATAATATACGAGTATTAAATTAACTAAATCAATATCATCGGTGGGAGATTTCACGCCTGTCCATATGTGTTCGAAATGGTCAAGGTTACATCCATCTCTTTCTTTCTATAAAGAATATGAAGGAGACAAGAACTAACATTAACACTTTATCACCCCATCACTACTTGGAATTAGTTTGACTTGTCTTCTGTGTAGATTCAAGCCAATCGTAATAGTTTCAATTATTGTTAATTAGTAAGCTTAAAATGTATTTTTATTCTTCAAGCTACCGAGATAACGTAAAAAGACTACGAACCCTGATGCAGGACCAGCCTCAGACTCCACTAGAGCGCGCCGTCTGGTGGACAGAATACGTCCTTCGCAACGGCGGCGCTAAGCACTTGAGGGCGCCCGCTGCCAACTTATCTTGGACCGAGTATTACGAAATTGAATTATGTCTCCTTATAAGTTCTGTTACCTTAATTTCTGCATTATTATTATTTATTTTAATCAGAATAATAGTATCTAATGTCTCAAGAATTTTTCGAAAACAGAAATTAAAAAGTATGTAACTGTCTAAATCCAGACTTTAGAATCCAAAGTTTCTAAAATTGTAATTAACTACACATGGTTCAATGTTAAGCGATTCCATTTGAATGCTGCTCGAAACTGCGTTCGATAATTGAACTAACGTGTTCTCAATCAGTTTACCGCCGAAATCCAACTATCGCTAAAGTCCTAAATAGTCCCGGATACTAAATAAAGAGTTAAACGGTTTACTATCTAAAGTTACAAAGATTTTTTTTTTGCAAAAACATCCAACAGATTTACATACTGTAACTAATGGCTTGAAGAAAAACTCATATAAGACAAAGAGAAGTGTGCTTTGTTCTATTTCACAGTAATACTAAATATTTTTTTTATATCATAAGGTGGCAAACAGCGGCCATCTGAAATCGCTGAAATAGCGAAGTGACCGTTGCCTATATACATACGCAATTGCATATGCGTTGCCTACCTTTAATAGACGGAGGAGAGGATGCACAGAAAGAAATATTTCCCTTTCCATGCATCCTCTCATCCGGAAAGTCCAATTCCACTTCCCATCCTTTTTTTATAAGAAAAAGGGGGATATATATGGGAAAGGAAAGGGGACTAAGTTAGGCCTCCGTCCTAAAATATGAATTTTGTTTCGTCCACGGTAATGAAAGGGATGTCAATAATGTATCAATGTAGTAAATTTCTACAGTTAATTTTATTTCATAGCAAGGCATCAAAAGTTGAAATTACATACAACTTTAGAAACAAGTTTAATCGTTGGTTTCTGAGACTTTAATGCCTGTAACAAACATGTTGTTATCTCTGTTTTGTCAAAGATAATGAGAGGGATTACCTTTTATACGGGGATTTTGGTATCAGAAACCAACTATAAGTTGTCTGTTGTATAAGTTGTATTAGTGAATATCAATTATAATGTTAAACTTAAACGTACCCAGAGACAGTTCTAACGAAGTATTGTAATGTGGTAAGGTATTATGAATTTAGTTGTGAATTTCTCTTCCCTTAGGGATGACGAAATTTGAAAGTTTATATGTATCAATAATAGTTGGGGAATGTCGGGTAACTTGGAGGATTTGGAGAATATAACGAACTTGATATGCGGTTTGTTAACCCTTGAGATATCAAAGATAATTTTGACTAAAAAAAACAGTCTTATTACTCGAATTGTTATTTAATTACTAGAATTAAAAGAGTGTTTACGTAAGAAATAAAGTTTTAAATTAGTGAATATCAAGTTCGAATTTAACTAGCCATATTTTTTATAGCGTTAAATATTTTTTTTTAATATTTTCGACTGTATTCGAAAGTCAGATAGTGTTAATAGTACAATTTTCTTTTGTTACGTATGTCATTTTTTGTATATGTGTCGTTTTTAATTGTGTATATCATTGCTAAAAATATTGAAGTTCAAAATAATAAAAACAATTTTTAAAAAGTTGTAGTAGGTTACAAGTATTGTCAAGCACTTTTTAGTTTTAAATGCTAATTTACTTGTTTAATTTTTTACATAAAAATAGACTGACTATTTAGTAAAATATACTGCCTTTTTTGATATACATACGTGAACTTTTCTCGTTAGCAGGATGCAAGGTCCCTAAAGAATTCCGGCCATTACTCACTTCCTTTGCACCACACGTAGCGTTTCCATATTCTACGTAGTTGTTGAATAAATTTTAACTATGTTATTTCCTTCATACGTGTAAATCTTTACGAGTACATACCAATTATTAAAGACATACATGCACAACTAACACCTGTAACCCAGAGGGGTACGAAGAGACAACGAACCTCCATTTGGTGTGGACAAGCGAACATCCACAATCCACTTTACGACTTTTTGGGATACGAAACGTGACTGATATAAAAAAACCAAAGCAGAATATTGCTTGGCTGTAATTGTGGTCAAGGTTGGTTGAAAAAAATAGTTTTTAATTGTCCGTGGTCTTCTTTTTCTCTTTATAAACCTTAAGGTTTTGACCTTTTTTTTCGGCTGATCGCCTGTCGCCAAAACCTTGCTTGGGTAGAATATTAAATACGATATAAATAACTTCTGAGAATAAACTGTACATTTGAATACAATATAAATGTCCGTGGTATAAAATTATAATGATGATTAGAGGGAAACACTTGGTATAAATGCACAAGACAAGATGTTTATGTAGGCAAGGCAAAACAACGTGTCAAGAATACCCTCTTTACCTGGCGATTATGCAAAACGAAACATCACTAGAGGAATGTTTGAGCTCTTTTTTCCCAAATTTACCTTTTTTAGGCATAACATTTTCATTGTAACTTTATATTCAAGACCTAACATAAGACTAAACCACTTCAATCTTACTAAATATTATAAATGTGAAAGTTTAGATGAATAGACCGCTAGATGTATCTTAATAAAAGTTTGCACAGAAACACATGGGCTACTTAAGATTTTTTTTTCAATTCCTCGCGGACAGAATCGCGGGTGATCGCTAGTAATTTAATAAATGATTCAAGTGACCAGGTCGCCGAAATAGCGAAGCAATTTCGTCCATAGACATCCGCAATTGCGACTTTATTTCTTTTAATTATTAAATTTTTGACCACTTGCAAGCTTGCTTGCTTGCAAGCTTGCTTGCTTATTACATCTCCTTTGTCTTTCGACATCATTCGTCATCAACACTAACTGTCGCCCGCGAGTCCGTCCGCGTGGGATGAAAGAAAACTTGATTAGTTCCCGGTTATTCGAGTTTAAACATTTCAAGGCCAATATAAGATAAACCCGTTCAGCCGTACTCGAGTTTTCCGAGACTAACGAACAACAATTTTTATATAAATATAGAGGATATAGATCGTTTTATCTGTGGTAATATTTGACAATTTATGTCAATAACGTAATATCATCTACCATATCGGTAGATGATTTACGTTGGCACCGAACCTAGTGCCGAGCCGGAACATAAATCAGAGTAACACATACACAACATGGTATTATTCGTATGTATATTGTTAACTAGGTTTGGCTTCTATATTCTGTCATGTTTGTCTATAATTCTGTGGGTTTCTGAGACCAAAATTCCCCTTTTAAAATATATTGTAATCTCATTTCTGTCGCAAGATAATGACAGGGATATGCTTTTTACACAAATTTTGGTCTCAGAAACCAACGTTTATTGGTTTGTTTTTCTTAATTACAAATTAAAAGGAGTTCGTTATTTAAATATGAATTGTATTAAAATATTGCAGTCAATCTGTTTGTTATGTCTAGATGAATGAAACCTTATGTCGATTCTTTGATTTTACATTGCAATTCCATACATAGTGTTAGTAAGAAAATCCGACACTGTGCCGGTGTACTGGCAACACTAGCCTTACTAAAATATCGATCTTTATGTCCCGTCACTAATCATTCTGACACTTGACTTGGTAACAAAAGTGCGCCATTCGCGCCAAATGATTCAAAGTAACATAAGTAATATGTCTACTAATAGATATGGCTGATAACCTCAATATGTATGATAATATTGTCCAAATAAGTGTCATCCTCAGAAATGATTCATTAACTATTTTATCATAATAATCAAGAGATTAGAAATAATAAATTGATTTTTTTTCACCACCGTTCCCTGGAGGTCTAGTTCCCTAACAAAAAGTAACTCTATATTTTCTAAACAAACATACAATTACATGAAAATAACCCACAGAAGCGTATTTACAGTATTATTAACCCTTTCGTGCTCGACCAAATTTTGATAATTAGTACAGTAATTGGATTGCTTTGTTTGTCCAAACTTTGATATTAAATGGAGATGGTATAGACACAAAATTGTCAATGATTGTATTGCCTGAATTTGTTCCTCATCAGATATTCGTATTATATTCCTATCTACGATTATATTTATGTTTTCTAATATTTATACCATTCGATTTTTCTTATCGTTGGTGTCTGAGACTAAACTCACTGTATACATTAGATTTTTTTTTATATCATAATGTGGCAAACGAGCGAGCGGCCACCTGAAATCGCTATAAAGCGAAGTGACCGATGCCCATAGACATACGCATATGCGTTGTCTACCTTTAATCGACGGAGGAGAGAATGCACAGAAAGAAAATATTTTTCCTTTCCTTGTATCCTCTCATCCGGAAAGTCCACTTCCACTTCCCATCCTTTCCTTATAAGAAAACGGGTGGGAAGGGAAAGGGGACTAAGTAAGGCCTCTGGGACGCACACTCATCAGACGAAACGCGGAATTGCTTCCTAAACTTACTGTATAAAATATATCGTAATCCCTGTCTTTTATCTTTGAGAAAAAAAATGTGTTTAAAACTGGGATTTGGGCCTTGGTTAGTAGTACACAAGATTATTCAAACTTTCGTGAGAAATTATAATAAACTTATATAAATCGGCTAAAACACTCACGTGTGCTAATCCGGCATCGGCACCGACTAGTTTCGAGCCCATCGGGGGCCCTTAATCAGGTTGTCAATCATTTCGAATATACGTGAGTATTTAGCCGTTTTTATATAAATTTAGTACACAAGATGTTTTATTACAGTAACATAGATTCACGGAGATCATAAATATAATCGTGTTCACAATTTTTTTTCAGTCTGTCGAAACAAACTCTTTGCTACCACCAAGAAGGTTTACACTTTTAGATAATAAACTTTCTGGAATTTTATTAGGTACCTATAGATTAACTTTCACTTCAAACAAGACTATTCTAATGTATTGTTGTAGTTTATATCATGCAAGTAATACAAGACGGATTCACTGGATTCAGCAAGTCCTTTTGCCTTTGACCAAATGCTGTGTTCATAAAGCTCTAGAGACGCCAACATTTCTCATCTCGACAGCTAAGCTACACGAATGCTATGAAGCAACTGACTAGACATTCATAACCGGCTTAACAATATAGCACCTGTAGTTGATATTCCATATCGCATGTAAATTAATTTACAACATACCTATAGTACAATGTACAGTCGGCTGCATTATTACATTCTTATACATTAACAAAACTTCAGAAACTTGTATGGGCTGTAGGTTTCAAAAAGTATGCACGTATTCGTTAATAAAGCTGTCTGTACATACTTATAGTTAATAACTCTGTTAATTAACCACAAAAAAACCCGATTGATTGTACCCCTGTACTCAGAAGAGGAATATGAATTAAATCTGTTCAATGTTGGCGGACTTTTGTCGGCTTGGACTCAACCATAGTCGGACCTAGTAAACAAATTTTCCCCTTATTCATTCCCCTCCCCCACAAAGTCAACTTCAGAGTTCTTAGCTGTAGTGAAATGAAGCAGCTAGATTCTATAGTACTTCACAACATTTTCTCAAGAGATAT